CTTTACATTGTAGTGGTTATCAGATGTTCCCCCCCTTCTCATTGTGGAAATTTATATTGTAAATTAGTAACAAATCAAAATTTTCATCAAATGAAATTTTTATTGCTGGGGTTTTGTGAGTGGAGTAGTTAAGGGTAGCTGTGGACATGTCAGTTTCCAATTTTAAGTAGGTACAAATTTTGTAAGGATATTTTTAAAACATGTGCCTGGCTGGCTCAGTTGGTAGAACATGCAACTGTTGATCTCGGGGTTGTGAGTTCAAGCCCCTTGTTGGGTGTAGAGATTACTTAAAAAATAAAACCTTAAAAAAATATTTTTAAGACAGTCGCAACCTTGCATTATAATTCTTACTGTCCAAGAGACATTGCTATCATTGGTACCGTCTGTTAGGCTCTTCTATGTACTTTTGCTATTATAAGCCTTATACAAAGCAAATGAACTCTCTTTTGGGAGACCAGATTGAATCTACAAGATCGTTCCTATTTAATGAGCCTGAGCAAGGAAGAACTGTTAGGATGTTTTTATTTGTACTTAAATTGTCACTTGTAATAATTGGTTTGAACTAAGGTCACCTTTGCTATTCCTGAGTATCTTAATGTGACAGTTGTAATCAAGATGTAGAATCATAGTTAAGGTAATAAATTACAAATAAAATCTTAATTTTTGCCATTAGCTATGCTTTTTACTTAAGAGAGACATATAAACATACAAGGATAGGCAGATAATAAGTCTATTAACAAGCAAATGTAGACTGTGTACAAACGGTATAATTTTAACAATATATTTTATACAAGACAGAAGATAGAATTTTTAGTGTGTACCAAATGCACATTGTAAGCAGTTGACTCAACAACCCCCGTGCCTCCTCTCAAAGATTGTTTTCTGAAATTGAGCCTCAGTGTTCAGTTTTAGGAAAAAAAATTCAAAGTGTATAAACAAAAAATATTTGTGAAAACCTCTCATCTCTTAGAGGTTCGGCTGTTCATCTATGCAGATGCTATTCGATTCTGTCTGTATTCCTTTGGGTCTTACACTGGGTCCTTACCATGTTGGTGTGTGCCAGCCCAATTTTCAACTGCTGGCACCTGCCTCTCTTTATAGGAAGGCTTTTCTTGCCGTGGGAGCTTGCATAAGTAGTATAAGGAATTGGTGTCCTGGAATTGCTGGAGAACTAACTCCCCTCATTTCCTCTCTCTAGCTGTCAACCAGTTAAATGATAGGAATTGGTGTATAATTATCATGCCTTGAGATGGGATAATCCCGAGATGCATTTTTACAGAGACCCTCTGAGTTCCCAGTGGGATTAAGCTCCCATTAAACCACAGGAATAATTTGCCACTGGGATTTCCTAGGATTGCTTCCCAAATAAACTGTGGCAGCACTTGTATAGGCTCTGCTTTTGGGGAAATAGAAACTAAAACATAGAGACATACTCTTTTAAATAATTCAATATGAACACCTTAATTTTCCCTAAAGATAGATTTACAGGGCAATTTTTTGTTTTACAAAAGACTTCTATTATGAACTCCATTTATAAAGAGAATTCATTTAAGTAAATCACATATTCATAGTCATTAAGTGCACTGAAAATACCCATTTTTACACACAGCTTGTCAGAACTATGCTTGTGAAAAACACAGTTTCATGTTATCATCAACATTTTAACCAAAGTAATTACTTTTGGGTGGCAAATTTTATGAAACCAAGTATAGCTATTTAGCGTTTTGTTTGCTATATTTTCGTGTTTAAGCCACTCCCACAAGTCCATTTATTGCAATTTGGATGCTGCCCACATAGTAGGTAGGGAGACCATGTGCTTTATTGTCTAAACCAGGACATGCAAGATGGAAAGGTTGTGCTGTTACTTACACTGGGATAAAAAGCAAGAACCAGCACATATGGTCACCCTGTGTATAGGTGACCATGTTATTAATTCTTTGGTACAGATTTGCAATCTTAGTACAGATTTGTATTGATTAAAAATGAAGTGTGTTGGAAGATAGAAGTATTTCATTTAGTATCTCTGTTTTCAGAAATGATGTATCAATATTACTGGTTATTTCTAAGTGTTTTATAAAAATTTAGTAAGTTTCTGATCAAAAAATAAAGCTTTGAACCAAAACATTGAAAGGTAATTCAGTTATCTCTTCTCCGGGCTTGGTAAACCCATATTCCTGTAATCTTTAGCCTAAAGGTTATATTTTCCCATTTCTAAGTTATTTTCATGGGTCTAATTGGATCCTTTCTAGCAAAAAGATTTTCCTTATAGTTTTATCATGGGTCTAATTGGATCCTTTCTAGCAAAAAGATTTTCCTTATAGTTTTAAGACACAAATGTGAAGTTCTTAGCCTAGTGTATGGAACCTAGTACTCAGTAAATGGAAGTTAATAAGAATGAGGAAAATAAAGGTGAAAATAGTGCCATAATTTACTTAGATGTACCTTCAGGTTGAAATCTAGTCTGAAATAAAGTATAGTCTAAAGTAACATTTCAAATATTCACGGGTTAGAGTACTAAAAATAGGACGTCAGTAATAAAGTAATTTACCTAGTTAAATCTACCTTTTCCTTAGCTTTATTTCTTGACTCCAGAAGCCTGCTCTTGGTGGACCTAAATTCTTTTTGTGCTCAGTTTTGTTATGCAGTCTTGTCATCTGCTCTCTCTGAATAGGGCAAGAATGGAACTTGCTTGGGGCCATTTATAGCTGATAGTTTGGGCATAATTATGAGTTTTATTCAGACTTAAAAGTATGAGTTTTATTCAGACTTAAAAATTCAACTACTAATAGTACATTGGCAAACGTACGTTTGATCTTCAAGAGATTGTCAAAGATAGGAACTGTCTTTTGTCTTTGTCAGTTCCTCAAAGATAGGAACTCTGTTCATCTTTGAATTCACAGTGTCTGGCACACAGTAAATGAATGAATGAAGTGGATGTCTTTTATCCACCCCCCACCCCCCCATTTCTTCCTGGGTTGGCCATTCAATAAAACTTTAGTGTCATACTGTGGGAATGGAGAGTTTTTATTTACTGTGAATTAAAGAGCAAATTAAACTACAAGCAGAAGCATCAAGGGAGTTGAATGTGTCTTTATATTCTTACCAAACAAAAGAAGATTATTTTTACTTACATGTGCCTTTTGATTTTGTTTGTTTGTTCATCTTTGTTGTAGTTAGCCATTGATAGGAATGTTTCTTACTGGTCTTCTAGGTAGTTACATTGTGCTTTCCATATTTTTTTTTGTCTTTTTCAAACTTTTCCTGGTTATGCAGTCTACAGAATTGACCTATAGGCATTATAAACTTAAAGATTTAGTAAGGGAATTAAGACAGTTTAGTAAGAAAATTTTTTATTTTTATGCAGGAAACTACATGTAGCTTTATTAGAATCATAGTATACTAGAAAAGGAGTAGCTTTTATCCCCACCTAGTTCTTCCTAGTTCTATGACATCCCCTTATTTCTGCCCCCCACTATACATCTAATATGCCACCAGAACCCCCCCCCATGCCCCCAACAAAACAAAAGCGGCTATTAACTTTGTTTTTGTCAGGCCATTCCTTAACCTGATCCTTATTTGCCTACCGGGATATATGTTGACTTAACATTTGTTCCTATGAAAGGGAACCATATCTTTTTAGCCTGTTGATTAAAAACAGGAAGGATTGTATATGTTTTCCCATCAAGGTGACATGGCAGTCTCCTGGAATTAGTTTTAAGTGAAAATGTTGCACAAAAGTTAGGCTTCTCTGTAGCATTACCTATTAAATTACTCAAGCATGAAAACGTAGATGCACAAAATACCCATTTCTGCCAAGAAAATAATAAGCTTGTATGGGGCGCCTGGGTGGCTTAGTCGGTTAAGCGTCCGACTTTCGCTTAGGTCATGATCTCGCGGTTCGTGGGTTCGAGCCCCGCGTCGGGCNCATACTCTGTCTCTGTCTCTCTCTCAAAAATAAACATTAAAGTGGGGCGCCTGGGTGGCTTAGTCGGTTAAGCGTCCGACTTTCACTTAGGTCATGATCTCGCGGTTCGTGGGTTCGAGCCCCGCATTGGGCTCTGTGCTGACTGCCAGCTCAGGGCCTGGAGCCTGTTTCAGAGTCTGTGACTCCCTCTCTCCCTGACCCTCCCCTGCTCACGCTGTCTCTCTCTCTCTCTCCTAGAAATAAATAAAACATTAAAAAAAAAATAAGCTTGTTAGCTGCACATTAGCTTTTCCTCTTCCCTCACTTGGTATTGAGTTAAAGCCTTCTCAGAAATCTAGATTGTCCTTGATTATCAGTGCTTCAGTTGTCCTTTTGGCCTTTGCATGGTCCTCCAACCCTCTACCTGCCTATACACACATAAATGTTACTCACTGTTTCATTTTGAATGGATGGACAGCATCAGCATCAAACATGGCACTTCAGCAATCCATCTGCAAATCATTGACACAAAATGACCCATGTTTTTTCATTCAGTCCAACTTAGACAGTGGTTTTGTCTTTGTCAGCAGTGTTACTAATATTTTGGGCTTATTTCTCATTGAGAATTTAAGTAATGGTGAATTAAAACATAGTTTAAATTTCTTTGGGTTTAATTTTTTTTTCTTAATGTTTTAGCCTTACATTGTACTAGTTCTAATGTAGCAGAAAACCAAAACTTCTGGGTGGAAAAGTGCAAATGCATTATAACAAAATTGTGCTAGATACAACCTTGTAATAAATACTTAGGTCAGTTTTAAGATGCTTTGGTTTGTGATAATGAGGTTGAGAAAAGAATTGGCTTATAAAATTGATATTTAAAATTCATGAATGCAAAATGATTTGGAAGTTAGAAATAGAGGTGAAATTTTTAAATGTTAATTGGTAATGCTGGCTATATTTAAAATCTATGTTTGTTTAAAAAGTAAGGAAATAATTCACAACCATGTACAAATTAATTTTTTCAAATCAGAAGCTAAATTGTGACATCATAATCTTAACCTTTTTGCATTTTATTTATAGTTTTTTTTAATTTTAGTTTCAGTCTGATGGAAGCAAACAAGAAGATAAAGAGAAAACGGTAAGAGACCAGAAAAATCCAATGTGTCTGATATTTGTCTTTTTTATAGCATACTGTAAATTTTACTATGATCAGACTTGAATCACCTATGTGAATATTTTGTACTCTACATGCTGAGTATAGCTTTTGGAATATCATACAGTTATCGTTTAAGATTGACAATTCCTGTTTTGGAAGGTTTCTACGTTGAGAAAGGAAGAGGGATAATGAGTTCCTCATTCTCTTGCTGCTCCTTTCCTTACCTCATCTCATTGCTTTCTTAGATGGAGAGACACAAATATCCACTGGGAAAAGGACAGTGATAGTGTGGGGGAATTATATGTATCTTATGAGATGAAGGAATGGCAATTTTTCCAAGGCTGGCATAAACTTTTTTTTTGGGGAGGGGGGTGGGGATTAATATGGATCTTTTACTGATATAATTTTTCCCCCCTTCTTCTTAGGAAGTTATCCTTAGCTGTTTACTTAGCATTACTGACCAGGTACTACTTCCATCTCTTTCTTTGATGGACTGCAATGCTTGTATGTCTGAGGAACTATGGGGAATGTTTAAAACATTTCCATATCAGCATAGGTAAATACATAATTTTTGTATTTTTAACTACTATTTTAGTGCATTAACATCTAAGTGTTTAACTTTTCCTAATTCTTCATCTCATCGTTTTTTAAGATATCGTCTGTATGGCCAGTGGAAGAATGAAACTTATAACAGTCACCCACTTTTAGTAAAAGTTAAAGCCCAAACAATAGACAGAGCCAAATATATAATGAAGTAAGTTTTAATTTATTTTTCTTCATATTAATCTAAAGTATATCTGGATCTAATTTACTTTCTTTTAACCAACTTATGTCTGAGTCTCTGTTCTTAGGAAGCCTATGAGTATTTGCTAATGGGATAGTTTATTATATACTGCAGATAGAATGACTATCAATTTTTGTGTTTATTTTTCTTTAGCTCATTTTGACTAAGTTTTTATAGTTGTCATATTTGCATAGCTGTAAAATCAAATAAGCCTCTTTAATGCATCATGTTATAGGATTTTTTTTTTTTAAAGGACAGCCTACTGTGGCCTTTGCTCAATTTGCATAAGACATTTAATGGTGTATACAAGGTGGTCAAGGTTCTTGAAATTTCCTCTGCCAAAAGTTATCATAATAAAGATTTTTCTTTTTTGGAAGAGCTAATGGAATGATGCAAAACTGTCTCCTTGAGTCCACTTTTTATTTTTTTCATTTGTGTGCTTTATCTTCATGTCATTGAAAACATAAGGGTGATGTTATTTGACTTCTTGGTAAACTGAAATTTAATTTTACACATTGTGTACTTCAGATTAGAGTTGGTTTATAATACTAAATACACTGCTATATCGCAAGTATTTTCATCAAGGCTATTGATTGTCATTTCTTTCATGTTTGTGAAGTGGTATGGTTATTCTAATTAAAATAGTTCATTCTCTAGTTTAACTAGATTCAACAGTATGCAATGAATTATTTCACCCTGGGGAAGTTGGGGAAGGCATGGAAGGAGATACTAGAATTCGTCCTTCCAAAAGAGTTCAGTCTTAAGATTTCCCCAACTAGCTTAACAACAGCAGCTAAGCTAATGTTTATGGAGCCATTAATATTTGTGTGCAAGGCCCTGAACTAAGTGATTTATATAAATTATTTAATAATACTTTTGACCCTTGAACAACATGGGTTTGAACTATGTGGATTCACTTCTATGTGGACTTTTTTTTCTTTTTTTTTCCTTATGTTTTCTTTATTTCTGAGAGAGAGACACACACACACAGCGTGAGCAGGGGAGGGTCAGAGAGAGAGGGAGACACAGAATCTGAAGCAGGCTCTAGGCTCTGAGCTAGCCATCAGCATAGAGCCCGACACAGGGCTTGAACCCTCAAACCATGAGATCATGACCTGAGCCACAGTCAGACGCTTAACCGTCTGAGCCACCCAGGCGCCTCATATGTGGATTTTTTTTCAGTAAATACATTGGAAAATATTTTGGGTATTTGGAACAATTTGAATTTGAAAAAACTTACAAATCATATCACCTAGAAATATTGAAAAAATTAAGAAAAAGGTATGTCTTGAATGCCTAAAATATATGTAGATACTAGTCTTTTATAATTTGCTACCATAAAATATACACAAATCTATTTTAAAAAGTTAAAATTTATCAAAACTTGTATGTATACTTAACAGACTATACGTGATGCCATTTGTAGTCAAGAGAAACAAATGTAAACATGTAAAGATTTACTATTAAGTCATAACTACATAAAACTAACTGCAGTAGCTTGTGTACCACTGTAATAATTTCGTAGCTACCTCCTGTTGCCATGCAGTGAGCTCAAGTGTTGTGCGTACCTGCTTAAAACACTGTGTGTTGCTAATAATCTCTGAGCAGTTTATCTCTCTAGTAAATTGCGTATTGCTGAAAAAGTGACATCTCATGGTTCGTATATATTTTTCGTGTTTATTGTGATATCATAAGCCGTGCATAACACCTGGGACCCATATGAAGCACCTCTAGTGCTGCCAAAAGTGCTCCCAAGCAGAGAAAAGTCATGACATTGCAAGAAAAAATTGAATTGCTTACTGTGTACCATAGATTGAGGTCTGTGGCTGCAGGTACCCGCCATTTCAAGATAAATGAATCCAGCCTAAAGACTGTTGTTTAAAAAATTTTTTTTAATGTTTATTCATTTTTGAGAGAGAGAGAGAAAGAGCGTATGAGTGAGCAGGGGAGGGGCAGAGAGAGGGAGACACAGAATCTGAAGCAGGCTTCAGACTCTGAGCTGTTAGTACAGAGCCCGATGTGGGCCTCGAACCCATGAACTGTGAGATTATGACAGAGCCGAAGTCAAATGCTTAACCAACTGAGCCACCCAGGCTCCCCTAAGGATTGTTGTTGTTGTTGTTGTTGTTTTTAAAAAAGGGAAATTCATGAAGTCATTGCTGCAGCTATATGGGCAGATGTGAAAACCTTGTACTTTTTGTAAAATACTTTTTGATCTTGTATTGAAAATGCAGCTGTTTTTATGGGTGCAGGATTGCTGTAAGGCAGAAATATCTATTGACCCTGCCTAATATTTGAGAAAATGCCAAGTCATTTTGTGACATCTTAAAAGGATCTGAAGCTGGAGAATTTAATGCCAGCAAAGGATGGTTTGATAATTGTAGAGATGTTTGGCTTTAAAAAATGTCAAGATAACAAGAGAAGCAGTTTCTGCTGACCAAGAGGCAGAAAATAGATGAGTTCCCAGATGCCATTAAAAAAATCACTGAGGGACGCCTGGGTGGCTCAGTCAGTTAAGCATCCCACTCTTGACTTTGGCTCAGGTCACGATCTCATGGTTCGTGAGGTTGAGCCCTGCATGACAGTGTGGACCCTCCCTCTCCCTCTGCCCATTCCCTATTTGCTCTCTATTTCTCTCTCCAAAAATAAAGATAAACTAAAAAATATAAATCATGGAGAAGAGCTATCTGCCTGAACAGGTTTAGTTTTAATTAAAAAAATTTTTTTAAATATTTTTATCTTATTTTTGAGAGAAAGCGCATGAGCAGGGGAGGGGCAGAGAGAGAGGGAGACACGGAATCCAAAGCAGGCTCCAGGCTCTGAGCTGTCTGCACAGGGCCTGATGCGGGACTCGAATTCATGGACCCTGAGATCATGACCTGAGCCAACGTCGGATGCTTAACCGACTAAGCCACCCAGGCGCCCCTATTTTTAGTTTTTTGATGTTTATGTTTGAGAGAGAGAGAGAGAGAGAGAGAAAGACAGAAAGAGCATGAGTAAGAGAGGGCCAGAGAGAGAGGGAGACACAAGAGTGTCTGTCAGCACAGAGACCAAAGTGGGGCTTGAACTCACAAACTGCAAGATCATGACCTGAGCTGAAGTTGGATGTAGTTTAATTGACTGAACCACCCAGGCACCCCCTGTACAGGTTATTATGATGACAAAAGTTACTCTATTCTGGAAAATAAAGCCACAAAAGACATATGTTAGTAAGGAAGAGGAGCAAACACCAGGATTCAAGGCAGGAAGGGATAGGCTAATTCTATTGCTTTGTGCAAATGCAGTTAGGTTTATGATCTAGGGTGCCCTTATCGGTAGAGCTGCTAGCACCTGAGCCTTGAAGGGAAAAGATAAACACCAAGTGCCAGTCTTTTGGTTGTACAACAAGAAGGTCTAGACAACAAATAGTGGGAGAAGGATGGGTATTACATTGAAACATTTTTAAAGTGGAAAAGCAAAAAAGGCAAATCACCATGTACTTCCATAAAGTTACACTGAATGTGCCTGCCACAGCTGCCTCCCCTTCACCTCCTCTGCCTCTTCCACTCTGCCATCCCTGAGAGAGCAAGAATGGCAGCCGTTCCTCTTTCTCCTCATCTTCAACCTCCTCAGTGCGAAGGCAGCAAGAATGAAGACTTTATGATGATCCACTTCCACTTAATGAATAGTAAATAATCATCCTGTGATTCAGTTAAGAAACACACCTGTATGTTTGTGTTTGTGTGCATCTTCGTATGAAAGTCTAACCCTGTGGGAAGAACTGTAAGAGACGTTTTTCTGTTCTCCTCCTCATCATGTAGGACATTGTGTGCAAGACTTGTATGGAAGTGGATAGCCTGTCCTTACATAGGCATAAAGTGAATGATATTTAACAGCATTAGTAATGTGTTTTGTTTTCTTACTGTTTTACAACTTTGCTTTCAAAGAATCGTATTACCGTACAATTATTATGTACGGTAATAATAATTATTACTATTATTATTATGCCTTTCTCTTGTAATTGGACAAACTGCATATCAGCCTATCATCATAGGTAAGTGGTTTTTTTAAAAAATGTAACAGTGTTTCCAATACTGTATTATGACTATGACTGTAATGCTGTATGCCATTAAAATTTTATAACAATTCATTCATTAGTGTGTATGTAGGCTACTGGGAAACAATTGGATCGATTATACTAGGCTGTCCTAAAGCAATTGTATTGCTGCTGTTTCGTTATCAATGCTTGAATCATACATACCTGTAAATGAATACGAATTTCTTTTTCACCTCATCTTTTCATTTTTGATGTCTAGTGTTAGTAATACATACATCTAAGGTGTTTTGTATCATACAATACTGATGTAGGTACTGACAGACTTCATCTTGTAAATAGATGATGTAAACTTAACGGTATTGATAAATACAGTACAGTACTGTAAATGTGTTTCCCTTACGATTTTCTTAATAACATTGTCTTTAGTTTATTGTAAGAATACAGTATATAATACATACACAGAATATGTGTTAATTGGCTCTTTATGTTACTGGTAAAGCTTCTGGTCAACAGTTGGCTGTTATTAGTAGTTAAGGTTTGGGGGAGTTAAAAATTATACACAGATTTTTCGACTGTGTTGGGGGTTATTGCCCCTAATCTCCATGTTGTTCAAGGATCAACTATGTATTAAATCTTACCAAATTTCTAGAATCTGTCCCTTCCACTCTCTTCTGCCACTATAACTTACTTCTCTTATCTGGAGTATTATGGTGCCTTGTATTTATTGTTTCTTCGAGATCCTTTGGTGACTAGCCATTGCCTGCAGGTTATGATGTGTCCACCTTTATGGCATAGTGATGTGAGACATCTTTTGTGATCTGTCCCTCCCCATTTCCAACCTCTTCCCTGCCAGTTCTACCTCTAACTGTATTGAGTCCAGTTAAGTTTCCCTCAGTGTGCTGTGGTCTTCTTTATCTTCGCATATTTTGTTTCTTTTGTTTGTACAGGTTTTCCCTTACTTCATTTTCCTCTCTCCAACTGGTGAACTCATCCTCGGAGGGTGGGCTCCAGTGTTAACCATCTCATGAAGCCTTCTGTAGCACATGCTGCCAAGCACAATCAGCTGTTGTTTGTTTGCACCACCACTGTCCCATGGGCATGTGATGCTGTCATACCACATAGATACATTGCTAGGATTACTTGTCTTTTATCTAATTATCTAATGGTTTGAAGAGTTTATATGTTCACGTGGTTCAAATTTCAATAAGTACAAAAAGGTAGATAGTAGAAAGTCTCTCACCCTATCTCCCATCCACTCAGTCCTCCTAAAGGAAAAAAGGAGCCAGTTTACTTTATTATTTATCCTTCCAGATATTTTTTTGTGTATACAGGTGAATACAAAGATCCTGTTCTCCCTTTTTGTGCTGTTGATAGCATATAATTAGTACTGTTCTATAATTTGCTGTATTTATTAGAGAATGTAAGATGTAAAAAATAGGTTGAATTTGTCTCCCCAGCTGGGCACAGCTTGAGAGCAGGAGCTGTTATTCAGCCTTGTATTCCTAGTGCTTAGCTCTTTGCCTGTCATAGAAGACTTTAATATGAATGAATTGGCTAATAAAAATATTTATCACAGAAGGATATGTGTAGAATTTTTGATCTACTTGGATTTTTGTTGTTATTTGTTAGTTGTAACTATTTCACCAGGCTTGAACAATATGATTTTGGTATTGATTGAACTTTGTATGCGGGGAGCGGAATGTATTAATTTATTACTTGCAGAATTTCACAAATTTTGATTACTGTTTAAAAAACAAATTTGCTGTAAGGCATTCAGTAATTCATTCCACAAATGCTCACTGATTGTGTTCCATATGCCAGGCACCATGGTAGCTTGAGGGAGAGACATAAGAAAACTCCCTTTTATTTTTGTTTGTTTTTCCCTTCAGGGTGGAGGCAGAAGGGAATGGGATAAAAAGTATAGAGAAGAGGGTTTGCTTTGGCAAGTAGGATGACCACTTGAAATAGTAGGGTCAGAAGTAAGGACAGGTGGTAGTGAGTTTGAGGGTGGAGCAGAGTATAAGCCAAGTTTAAAACTTGATAGGTCTCTCTTTCCTGTGGGGGAAAAGGGAAACTGGGCCATGGAGAATGGGAAAGGGAAGCAGTTGATGATGAAATAATTTTTATTGTTGGGTCAGTTTTGTCATAAGAAACTTCTTAAGGTAATTAATTTTGTTATTTCCGTAATTGTTCCATTCTTTGAACTATCAACTGAAGTCACTATTTGCTCCATCATACTGTATTTTCATTCTAGAAAACTTTCAGTTGTCAGCTTTTTTCAGTTTCTAGGTTTGTTTTTAAAGTTTATTTATTTTGAGAGAGAAAAAGAGAGAGTGCAAACAGGGGAGGGGCAGAGAGAGAGTGGGGAGAGAGAATCTGAAGCAGGCTTCACTCTCAGCACACAGCCCAACGTGGGGCTCGATCCTAGGACCGTGAGATCATGACCTGAGCCGAAATCAAGAGTCGGCTGCTTAACCCCTGAGCTACCCAGGTGCCGCTTTAAGTTTATAGATTTATTATGTAATGTCAGAAAAATTTAAGATGCCATGTAGTAATTTTGAGCTGTAAGTATTTCATAGATGTAAGTTTTCTAGAATGTTAGTAAAAGAATACTGAGCAGAGGAAGAATTAAAGAGGAAGAAAAGGAATAGAATTGATTTTCCAGAAATTGGTTTGCTTTCAAAAATTATTTATATGAAAACCAGAGAACTTCCTATATCAAGGAATGCAGCATTAGCTATCACTCTGTTAGGGTAACTGAAACAGATGGTATGAGATATTTCATTGCATTACGCTAAATTATATATTTTAATCCCTAAACTGATAAATGAGCCTGTCTAAATCTAAAATAGTTCTGATTTTCTACAAGAAGAGTTTTATGTATTTGTAGAATACATTAGGAGATTTTGCTTATTAGACAACTATTATAAAATGGGAATGTGTATTATAAATGTTAAGCATCAGTACAAAATCTTAATATTCTTTGCTTCAATGCCTAATCAAAATAACCTAAGGCCTGCAGTAAAGTATATGAAGAATTTGGTTGTTTACACAGATCCATTTTATTCTAATTTATGTATGTATGTATTTATTACATAGATCCATTTTAGATACTTGGGAAAGAATTATGGGTTTTTTTGTTCCTATGATATTAACAAAGCTATCAACATTATGAGGGAAATGACTTAATTAAGATGATCTGTGCCATCTTTTTTCTCCCCTTGTAGGCGTCTAACCAAGGAAAATGTGAAGCCTTCTGGAAGACAAATTGGGAAGTTGAGCCACAGCAATCCAACCATTTTGTTTGATTATGTATGTTTTGAGGTTAATATTGTTTTAAGGGATTTTTCTTTTTGTTGTCTTTAAATCAGGACAAGTGGAAATGGAATGATGAAGTTTTAAAAATGTTTCATAGGTGCTCGCTTCGGCAGCACATATACTAAAAATGTTTCATAGTTTTAGGGGAAAAAAATCTTTAGCAAATGAGACATGGTATAATCTGAAACCAAAACAGCATACAATATATTTAACATATTGGTCTAATGTTTTGGTAATATATAATAATGCTGCTCTTATAAATAGTCTAATATAGTCTTATTTACCATATGTTGATTTAGAGAAATATTAATAAAGAGATGCATTATAAATGACTTTAGTTGTTAGAAACATTTGAATAGCATTTTATTCAGGCATGACACTTTCATATTTAGAAGGAGATTTCTAAATGATATCATTCCAAAATTGAAGTTACATTCCTGGAATTATTTCCCAATTGGAAAATGTACTTTATGATAATATTTTCTAAAGAAATGGAATAGTAGGTTTTATATAAATACAAAATAGAAGGAAGCTACTTTAAGCATTGTTTCTTTTGAAAAACAAAACGTATAGCCATAATTTAGTACTGAAGTTCTCCTTTGATGAGTTAATGCCATCTATTCTTTCCTGTTATCTTCTAGATCTTGTCACAAATACAGAAATATGATAACTTAATAACACCTGTAGTAGATTCATTGAAATACCTCACTTCTTTGAATTATGATGTTTTGGCCTGTATCCTTTTAAGCGAACTAACACATAGATTTCACATTTCATAGATCTTAATGGTGAACATTTTATTTTCATTATGTTTTTTCACTGTAAGTTCCATTAGTAGCCATATGAGGTTGATTGAGTTAGCTGATCTGACGGTTGGTCAGTCAGAAGTTTGTGTATACATGTCTGCGTTATATATAGGGAGAGAACAATGTTAAGTTTACTAAACATCATGAAATAGGTGAAATCTGTCCGTCTTGCTGAAAGATGGAAAAGCTGCTAAAGAAGAAAAATTGGTACTACAGTGAGTGTAATTTTCAATGATTTATAATAACTTGAAGCTAACAATTTTTTTAATGGTTTATTGTCACGTTGGTTTCCATATAACACCCAGTGCTCATCCCCACAAATGCCCTCCTCCATGCCCATCACCCCCCTTCCTGTCCACCCCCATACCCATCAGTCCTCAGTTCTCAGCATTCGAGAGTAACAATTGTTTTTCAAGATGTGGTATTTTGTTGTTGTTTTAAGGGTCTTCATTAGAGATATAGTGGCTTAAAATTTTTCCTTAATGTATGAAAGATTGTATCATTGAAGCTTTAGCTAATCCGGAAAAGGAGAGAATGAAACACGACGACACAACCATCTCAAGCTGGCTTCAGAGTAAGTATTTTTATTTTTCCATGGATGAAATTTTCATCTGTTATAATTGCCATTTATATATTCTGTTACCCACTCTAAGAGCCTATTTGTCAAGAGGTGTTGAGAAAACTTAGCCACTTGGCTTGTTTTCAGAGCGTCCAAGTCTTTGGCTGTGTAAGGAAGTTCATGTAGTACTTACTCATTTTTCAACTCAAAAGTCCAGTATTGGCTATGATAGAATTTGCATTTACTAGGGAGATGAAAATTCCCTTCTATTATTTTAGTGGAATTAATCTTAAGGTAACTATTCTCCTTTCTATCCTTTCCATCCTGGTTTTTCAGTCATCTTAAAAGAACAAAAACTTGATTGTTAACAAAAAACACTAACGTTTTTAAAAAAAAATTTCTTGTGCTTTTGGTTTCTAGCTGTGAGTTCCCTTTTCTTTCAGCCCATCATGTTTGATAGCTGAATCTTGTAGCTCCCCATTGCCCTTTAAAGTCTGAAATCTGGATTAAGTCATATAAGTAAGTTCTTTTGGAATCAAGTCCTTACTCAGTGTATTAGCCTCATCTTTTGCCCCTCCCCAATATTCTAGGTTCCATTAACACTGAACTTGTACTTTCCATGGCCTTTTTGCACATTATTGCCCCTACTTGAAATACCCTTCCATGCCGCCTCATTTCCTCTACCACGTCTTCTACTTATTTACTTATTCATTAGATTTCAGCTTAGAGGTCACTTTTGTTCAGAAAGCTTTCCCTGGTAATGTTCCTACCCAAAAGTCAGAATTAAGGTGCCCCGTTTCTGTATTTCCATGGAACCTTTTATTCATCATAGTTATTTCAGTTTACTTTTCTGTATCCCTCATTAGACTGTAAGCTCCTCGAGGGCAGGACTTGTTTTGTCCATTATCCTCAAGAAATAATTGTTGAAAAAGCTACAGATCACTTGATTTTTACTGGGATCTCCTCCTCTTGTCTTGACTGGGGTTTTCTCCCTACTCATGATGTGATCAGAGCTATTGGTAAAAATTGATCTTTTGTTTGCTTCTTGGTCTGGCAATGCTTTACCTGTTTGCTTGCCTCTCCACAACTAGTAGCATGGTTCTAGATAAAAAGAGATTTTTTGTGTGTGTGACTCAAACATTTGAGAGGCAGGTGTTTTGTTGATCATTCAGATTTACTGAGTGATCTGCAAGATTTTGTTGTGGCCTGATTAATAGTTGTGGCCTAATAGGGTCTGGAATCAGGCCATATAGGTTTGAATCATTTTGTTACCTCATATCAACTATGTGACATGTTCCGCATTGATAGGTTGATAAACAACCTGAGATGATTATTACAAAAATTAAATGAGATAAATAACGTAACATGCTTATTAGTACAGTGTTTCACATATGTATGCTTAGTAGATATTAGCTAGCTGTTAATAATTCTAAAACTCCATTCAATGGCATCAGCAATACAAGTATTCCTAGCTCATTTTGTTTTAGAGATTGAGTTAGTCGAGAAATGGCACTTAATATTGTGGGGTTTTTTTGTTTTGTTTTGTTTTATGAACTGTTTTTTAAAAGCCCTATTTTTTTATTTCATATAGGTCTGGCTAGTTTCTGTGGTGCAGTTTTTCGTAAATATCCAATTGATCTTGCTGGTCTTCTTCAATATGTGGCTAATCAGCTAAAGGCAGGCAAAAGGTATTCATAGCAAATTATATGTAAATGAAATTCAGTAATTAGAGTACTTCTGGTGGTATTGGGATATTGAGATTGCTATTATCCTGAAAAACTGTTGGTTGTAGGCTTAAGTAGAATAGTTGCTCACTTATATATATGGAATTCTTTAATTAAAAGAAATTGTAATTTCATATATAAACACTTATTTACAGAAAGAAATGTAATATTTCGCTACATATGTAATTCATTAAGAAGACAGTTCATTTTGACTACCTTATTAGGTTCTTGAATAAGTGGTTAGTTAATATGGTATATTGTAAATCCTCTTAAAACCTTACTGATTATGCTGCTGGACAGTAATTGACCTTTACATTAAGCATATGGTAGGAACATATTTATTTTGAGGGTGTATATAGTATTTTTAAGACAAAAGTTTTTTTTTTTTAAAAATATGAACTTCAGAGATTACGTACAGCTTACATACCTTTCGGGTAGTATCCTTTTTTCTTTATGAATACTGAGTTTTATTGTTTTATTCTGGACCCATAGCACTGCTTAGAGTTGAAATTAGTATGTATATTAAACCCCTTCAGCAGTAGATGTACTAGAATCGAAGAACTGGAAATTGTTCCTGAAAACTTTCTGGTAGAAAGCAAACAAAAGTTTTAAAAGCTATCTGCTGTTCTACACAAGTATTACCTAAGTGATTCTTGATAGATTCTTATTTTGGATTTAGGGTTTTGTCAGCACATCACACTCCGCGCATCTGTCCACCAATCCTATACATTTTACTCTTCTGTGTCTATGGGCCAGGAGAATATAATGTTATTTTTAAGTCTGTAACTCAGTTTTCTGTACTGTGAATATAGTTTTTAATTAAAAGATAGCTTAAAGGAAAATTAAAATATTTCATTAGTACTTGTTGCATACTAATTTGCATGGAGGGCTCTCTTGTTTTCAAAACCTATGTTTAGGGAAGGCAAGAAAGTTGAGAGTGTAAGCACTCAATAAGACTCTTCAAAAACTGTGCCTTTTATCGTTTTTTGTGTCTTGGGTATGTCTAGCTTTACGTTTGGGAAAACATCTGTATTTGTTTTGTAGGAAAGAAGGTTTCTACTTAATCTTCATTACATAACTAATTAAAGAAGATCTTGAAAGTCTTATGTTGTTATTTCCATTGATAGTCCCAAATTTTGAGAATTAAAATGAGTAACTATTGGCACAATAACAAATGTTTTTAAGGCTGTCATCTTAGGCAGGCTCATACACTACAACTTGGAACTTCATTCCCTTCCTTTTTTTTCTTTCTCCTCTCCCTCACTCCATTCTTTCCAAGTGTGTGTGATCATTTAGAGAGATGGCTCTATACCATCAAATATATATATTGGCCACCTGGTACTGGAGGATAAAAAAATGCTGTGAAGAAGTGAAGGGGATTAAGAGTATACTTACCGTGATGAGCACTGAGTAATATATAGCACTGTTGAATCATTATATTGTATGAGTAAAACTGATATAAACTGTATGTTAATTATACTTGAATTTAAAAAGAAATAAAAAAAACATTTAAAAGTACTGTGAAGAGCTGTTGGGTCAACTGATAAAAAATAAGATATGAACTATAAAGTACTGTATCAGTGTTAGATTTACTAAGGTTGATAACCACGCTCTGGTTATATAAGAGAATAGTTACATTCTTGGAAATACATTTTTAGGAATTTTAGGGGTAAAAGGTGCCTTGAAAAGTGATGTTACTTACTCAATAAGTTACTCTCAGATGGTTCAAAAAAGTGTGTGTGTGTGTGTGTGTGTGTGTGTGTAGAGGAAGGCAGAGAAAACACAAATGATAAAGGGAAAGAAGTAAAAATGTTAATAGGTAAAGTCAGGGTAAAGGGTATATGGCAGTGCTTTGTACTATTTTTTTACCTTTACATACTATCTGTAAGTTTGAGAGTATTCCTGAGGAAAACATTAAAGTAAACATAAACATATTACATGCCTCAAATATTGTTCAGTATGGTTCTAGGAATGCAGTTTTTCCTTAAAAACCACTTTAGCCTCCTTCCCCTCCATATTGACATACAAATAATTTAGGGATTCTCAGCATGTTAAGTATAATGTCAGTTTTATGTTTGAAGTTTCAACTCTAGACTGGTTCTTATTTTTTCTGAATAGTTTTGACCTGCTTATATTGAAAGAAGTGGTACAAAAAATGGCAGGAATAGAAATTACAGAGGAAATGACGATGGAGCAGCTAGAGGCCATGACTGGTGGAGAGCAACTAAAAGCTGAGGTGAGAGTTGCTCGGTTTCTTTATGGACTTTTTAAATTCAAAATATATGAATACTCATACTAAAAATCCAGACAGCATGGAAGTACACAAAGCCAAATGTCAAAGCCGTGCATAACCCTCCTTTCATGACTGACCTCATCTCCGTTTTAAAAATTGAGATATACTAGTTATTTTAGCCATTTCAAACAGCTGAAACAAAGTATAAAAGACAGTAATGCATCTGTAAAGGAAGTAAATACCAAGTGTTCTGTGGTCCTTGATATCTTAACTGGTGTTAATCTGAACATAGTTACTCTGTTGTTGGATCTGTTCCACACTGAATAAAGAATAATCCTTTATAAGGGACATGCTAAGTAGAAAATGGAAAAAATGCAGAAGTTTAAAGTCAATTGACAGTTATCTCTAAACCAGTGACCGTAATCAGCAGTTGTGTCACTAAATAAATTTGTGAAGAGAGGGAAGGAATATAAAGTAAGTTTTTTATCTTTAGGATTGTAACTGAACCTCTTCTGTGTGGTTTTTTTTTTTTTTTTCCCTTTCCCATATCAGATAGCATGTGTTACGTAGTATGCGCTGGTAAATATATGTCCTCTTTTGTGCAGGGTGGTTATTTTGGCCAGATCAGAAACACTAAAAAATCGTCCCAGAGATTAAAAGATGCACTATTGGACCATGATCTTGCTCTTCCTCTCTGTTTGCTTATGGCTCAGCAGAGGAATGGGGTAATCTTCCAGGAAGGTGGAGAGAAACATTTGAAACTTGTGGGAAAACTCTATGATCAGGCAAGTTAAGGTGGCTTTTGTGTTTATGTGGATTTCTTTTTCATCCTGATAGTGGAAAATATGGAATGTGATATAATTTTCATTATTTATTTTTTATTTTTAAATGTTTGTTTATTTTGAGAGAGAGCACAAGAAGGGGACAGACAGAGAGAGAGGGAGAGAACCCTAAGCAGCCTCTGCACTGTCAGCACAGAGCCCAACGCAGGGCTGTCTCAGGAACTGTGAGATCATGACCTGAGCCAAAATCAAAGAGTCAGATGCTTAACCGACTGAGCCACCCAGATGTCCCAGAATGTGATGGAAATTTTAAAATGTCATTTGCACCTCATAGGAGTGTGAAACAGCTCTAATGTAAAATAGACATTCTTGAAATAGGGGCGATTTCCGTGCAAATTATGGTATTTAAGAGAAGGCTCTAGGAAATGTAATCATGTGTATAAGATTTTCAGTTTAAATAGTTAACTTCAAGTTATTTGCTCTCAGATCTTTCTTGATCTCTGGAAATCTGGAATTGCAATTGGAACAAAGTAGATGTGATGTTTATAAAATGGTTCTATAAATATTAAGCACCAAAACCTGTGATTAGCCTACAAAATGTGTTTATCACCAACTGTATTACAAGGGAAAAAATGATCACATATATTTTATAAATAAAGTTTTCCTCTTTTAAGGGCAAGGAAATTCTGTATATATAAAACTGTTGTATGTGATGTAGGGTAAATATATTCTACTAAAAGTGATGAAATAATAGCTTGGAACTTGAGATCTGGTTGAACATTCAGGTCTTAGATTGATGAACTTTTCAGGGCTTCGGTATCTTTTGTGGTAATATGATTACATGATAGTGTATAGATTGTCTTTATAGTTCTTTTAAGTTATAAAATTTGAATTCTTTATTAAAAAATATTGTTAAAATGACATCGTAATCATTTTGGAAAATTTTCTATGTTGGTTTTGTAAAGTGGTAGCACATTTGTGTTTTTTGTCTTATTTTTTAAATTTAGTGTCATGATACCCTGGTACAGTTTGGTGGGTTTTTAGCATCTAATCTAAGCACAGAAGATTATATAAAGCGAGTGCCTTCAATTGATGTGCTCTGTAACGAATTTCATACACCCCATGATGCAGCATTTTTCCTGTCTAGGCCAATGTATGCACACCACATTTCGGTAAGTGTAAGTGTCTTTGCTGCCATTCAAGAATGATTCCAAAGTAGTTCTTAATTATAAATGTGTTTTAGTTTGACATAGATATAGATTATATGTCTCTTGGAGACTCTTAAGTTTATTTATTTTGAGAGAGACAGATAATGAATGCAAGTGGGGGAGGGACAGAGAGAGAGGTGAGAGAAAATCCCAGACAGACTCCACACTGTCAGCACAGAGCCCAGTGCTGGGCTCAATCCCATGAACCATGAGATCATGACCTGAGCCGAAACCAAGAGTTGGATGCTCAACCCAACTGAGCCACGCAGGCGCCCCTTGGAGAGTTACTTTTTTGTTAACACTCATCTTTGAGCAGTGCACAATGAAAATGTTTCCTCTAAAAGTAAGTCTCACTGGTGTTATAATTTTACTGTTACTGGGCCACCAGTTGTCCAGGTTGATGTCTTATGAGTCCTTTAAAACTAACTATAGCCTAGACATTAGTGTAGATGAGAGTCACCGATGAAGCATCCTAGAAACTCAATCCTGTGTCCCCAGATTCTAATTGAGTAACTTGAATAGTACCTGGGAATTTCTATTTTTTTTTTTTTTTAATAAGCACTAGTTGATTCTGATGCAGGAAAATATGGTATGTCATTCTGTGAAACACCCCTGTCGAATTCAGAATCCTATTTCCTCAGTTAACACCATCCCTGTCAGATAGTTGACTTGCCATTCAGACTGCCTTGAGAGAAATAATGAGACTATCAGAAAGACTTAACCACCCCCAAACACTCTGAGAACTCTTGTAGTCTGTGTTGTGTAACTTTTCAGAAAGGAGTAGTCATGGCTTTTGTTTTATTTCTCTCCCCCTAAATGAGACAACCAAAAAGAAAAAAATAACAAAGCAAACCAGAGCCGTCCCGAGCAGAGTATCCCAGTAGTGACTAAGGATGTTGGGGGCAGAGGAGACTGCCCTCCCTCCTCTTTTCTGTCTGCCACCTGGACTCTAGCCTGCAAAGCAGTGACCTAGAAGGGGAATTAACTTTTCCTTTCCCTTTAGACCACGGTCAGCCCTCTGTTTAGAAACTGTGGTACTTCTCCACTCTGACTGGAGCCCAAGCATATTCTTCATCTTTGTGTAGGCTTGAATTCTGGCCCTTCTGTTTTATTTCTTGTTGTCTGTACTGTGTATGGCTTTCACTCCAGATTTTGGGAAAGATCTTGGTCCTTTCTTTTAAAGTAGGATCCCTTCTTTGTTCCCAGTAGGAATACAGGGTTGTGTAGCAGAGGTATGGAGAAAAGACACTGAGAAATTTGGGATCTAATTGATCATGTAATCGACCATCAGCTGTTAGTGTTTACATATCAACGGGTGCGGTGTCACACTTCCCTCTGACAACTGTTAATTGATTTAATTATCACTTTATTAGCATTATGCAACAATACTGTTGCTGTTTCTGCTATATTCTCTAGAAGGGAAAAGGGGACAAGGGGTAGGATGAGGTCTCTTTTCCCCCTTTAGAATCTCTCAATCCAGGTAATTGTATGCTCTCTTTGCATAGTTATGTCTTGTGTTGTCGCCCCATCCCGCAGTAGGTCAGTCTCAGCTATGCAACAGGGGACCTGATTTCTTGAAGGACTGAGGTGGGAGAATTGCTTCATCTCAGGAATTCTGACCTGCCCTGTGCTATACTGAGAAGTGAACACACTAATCAGCGATATTGAACCCTAGCAAACAGGAACACCTGGTTGCCTGAGGTTGGCTGAACTTTTCCAGGTCAGAAAATGGAGCAGGTCATTCCTACCAATAGCTACCTTTTCTGTAGCCTGTGTAAAAATATTATGTCTTTGTCATTTAAGAGAAATGTCATGTCCCTATCAGGGTTGCAGAGGAAAGCAAAAAACTATATAGAGGTGACTATACAGCCAAGTCAGGGATAAGTCTGTTACTGACAGACCACAAAGGGAGTTGGAAAGGGAGTTCTTTGGAGACTTTGGTTGCACTAGATGGACATCCAGATTTCCCTGGGGGAGCCTTGCTTTTGCTTCTTCAGTGAGGACCTCTCTTGAAGAACCTTCAAGGAGAGGGTGTGAATGTTGCAGGACTTGCTGGGTCCCTTCCATAAATGGACTACCAGCAGGCTCTCATGGGAGCAATTCAGACAACCACACACTGTTCAGGTTATTGGGCCAACAGGAGCTTTTTGAACAGTAATTAGAAGTATAGCAATAACTGTGGATATCAGTTCTAGTCCGTGGACTTAGTGCCCCAGGTGACTTGAGATGTAGAGCTGTTATGCCTCTGCATTTGACTGAGGGTGTCAGCTTGAAGAGGGAGTTAAACTGACTTCAGGTGAGGAAATTTTCATCCTAGTTAAATATGAAGTACAGCTGTCTTTCCTCCTCAAGCCTTTTTTTTTTTTTTTTTTCTTTTAAACTAGATAGGGACTAGGTGGGTGTTTAGCAATAGAAATGACATTCAGAACCCGAGGACTGGGGAGATGGGGGCTGTCAAACCACATCATTGCCTCCTCATGCCTATAACTTAATTTTCAGTTTTAATTGTTGAGACCCGACCTTGCAACACAGTTCTGAAAGAAAGGCTTTACCCCAATTCATGTTCTGGATCTTGCCCAAATCAGGTATCCAAGCTATCTTGTACAGATAGTTTCAGCACTGTTTTTCCTATGTTTTGTTACAACCTTAGCAGGTATCATTCTGCCCCACATAGATTCATATTAGTCACCATCACCAGGACCTGCCCTCAGAGGTTAAAAACCCTTCCTTATCCCGGCTATTTTTTCAGGTCTATGATGTAATTGGGACTTCTCTCTCAAAAGTAATATTCTTTGTAATTTTGTCACCTATGTAGTCTCAGTAATTCTCAGTATGTTCCTCTAAAATGGGTAACAGGAGGTAAATCTTCCTACCTATAGAATAATCGTAAGATTCTCTGTAATTTTAGTCATTGTAAGATGCTGCTTGAGTTACCCTCTGGAACAGAGTACTTGCTATGTCTTCTATCCAGTTAGCCTGGGGTAGAGAGGCACTCTAGAGGGAAGGCAGTGGGACTGTTAAGGAGCCAAGCCTCTTAGAATCCACAGTGCAGCCCTGGAAGTGGAGCCTTTGATGTCTGACCTTCTGGTTCTGGGTTCCATGTTCAGCACAAACTGTGATGATTTAAATGCTTCTTTATTTAACATAAAGAAGAAGCGAGTTTTAGATCTCCTCTTAGGTACATCTTCAGGGATGATGCCTAATCCCTACAAAATTTTCATCCCAAAGAGATCGAAGGATATGAGACAATAGCAACACTTTGTACTATTATTATTATTATTATTATTATTATTTACCTTTGGTGTTATACCCTATGAACTGATAAGTAGTTCCCTCTCATTGCACTAACAGCTTCATTTCCTTCTACTAAGAGTATGGCCTTCCTCTGACCCTCCTCCAAATTAGGATAAACCAGTCAGGCCTAAAAAAGCTGCAGTGCCAGTTCTAAAATGCTTTAAATTCTAATATACCATATCAATTCACAGAAAGTCTTATTCAGCTTACCAGTAGGGCAACCAGCTGGCAAACCATCCTGGTTTGCTTGGGACTCTGCCAGATTTGGCACTGTACTCTTGCATCCTGGGAATCCCCTCGTTCACTGCCAAACGTGAACACTTAGGCACCCTACTTAGCAGTCTTGTAGTAACTTTCTCATACCCTTTCTTAATGTTCATCCAGCTTCTTAATTGACAAATTGTAACGGCCAGTAGAGGCTGTGTGTAGTGATAAAACATTCTGTGCTGGTTGGCTATTACTAGTTCCATTCTACCTCTTTACTGGTGTTAAGACCCTTTACTTGGTTCCCTTGAAGATCTTAAAAGCAGGAATGGAAACCCTACATGTTCAGTCTTTGATGTATAGTAGTAAGAGAGAGTAGGGTGGGTGATGTGGATGGTGGAGGAGGCACACGTACACTGTTTACTTAACAGGTCAGGTTTAATAAGAATCTTCTGAGAAGCTCCTAGTGAGCACAGGAGTGAGATTGGAACAGCTTCTGGGGATCATTTATCTTAAAATAAATGTTGGTAAGAAATCAGAATTCCTACAACAGTTTCGAGTGGTCATCTTCTGATTCTTGAAAAGGGAACGTAGGATTTTGTACTTTGAAAGTCAGTGCTATAAATTGTGTTGTTTGTTTTTACATTTTTATCTCCAGTCGAAGTATGATGAACTTAAAAAATCAGAAAAAGGAAGTAAACAGCAACATAAAGTTCACAAGTACATTACATCGTGTGAAATGGTGATGGCTCCTGTCCATGAAGCAGTGGTCTCCTTACATGTTTCCAAAGTCTGGGATGACATCAGCCCTCAATTCTATGCCACGTTCTGGTCATTGACAATGTATGACCTTGCAGTTCCACACACCAGCTATGAACGGGAAGTCAATAAGCTTAAAGTCCAGATGAAAGCAATTGATGACAATCAGGAAATGGTAGGTCTTTGTTCTAGTAGCCCAGGTACAATAATTTCATGGTATTAATTCAATAGTACCCATACCTTGAAATTGTATTAACTCAGGTTCCTTAAAACTATGATCATTGCTATATAATATTTTCTAACTGAGTTAATGGTGACCTCTCAGTGGGAGAGGGCAGGGGCTTGGTGAATACATGGAGGTTTTGATCACACAAAAGGTATTAGGAGTTTGCTTTTTTTTTTTTTTTTTTTTTTTAACTGAAGACTATGTTAGCGACTTAAAATGATCTGTGTGACTCCAGTTTCGAGAGTGATAGGAGTTGCCAGAAGGAGAGCTCTTTAGCAGAAGGCTTTATGGAAGAGGTGAGTCTCAAGCTGGGTAGGCTTTGAAGATAGATTAGGTTTGGAAACAGGGAGACAGATTGGCCACTTTAGAGCTCCAGCAAAGGTGTGAAGTAACTTAAGGTTTAAAAAGACCACTTTTACTGTAGTTGAATGGACTTAGTGATAAATTTGAATGGTTAGGATGGGGCCAGATTATGTAGAGCAGTTGAAGTTAGAAAAGAAGACTGATAAAATTGAGGGCTGTTACTAGATTCTTCAGCAGGGAAGTGATAATGGTAAAAATGGTACTTTAGAAAGATTACTCTTGACAGTGGTACAAAGGATGCATTTGTTAGGGGGAAGGGGCTGGCATTAGGCTGGAGACCAGGTAGGTGGCATTTTGGGTAGTTCATTGAGAAGTACTGAGGTAGTGGGAATGCACGAAACTTGTAAGCATTTGGGATACTGGCATGAAAAAGGAAGAGTCAGAGATGACTCCATGCCTCAGACTAAAAGTATCCGTGCTGGGAACGTAGCCCATTTTGATGGGCAGACCAGAGTTTGGATTTGTTTAATGATGGTGAAAGCACATTCAGGTGGACTCCTCCACATCCTTGTGAGGTAATGAATGTGAAGTGTCAGCGTTTATCTCTTTTTTTGAGTTTTTTAATTAAAAGAAAAGAAAGGGAGGTAATGTGCCTGTAGTTAGAAAAGTATGTAACTTCTACTTTGTAGCCTCCAAATAAAAAGAAAAAGGAGAAGGAGCGTTGTACTGCCCTTCAGGACAAGCTTCTTGAAGAAGAAAAGAAACAGATGGAACATGTACAGCGAGTTCTACAGAGACTGAAACTGGAAAAGGACAACTGGCTTTTAGCAAGTGAGTTGTTGGACTTGTTAACATTTCTGCTACTGCTAAATTACAAAAGCAAACCTCTGTGACTTCCGAGGTGTTGAGGTGTATTATGTTTATATTTCAACTCCGTGTTCACTATCCCGTTCTTTGGTTATTCATTAATGCAGAGTCGACCTCACATGTTCGCTGAAGGAACTGATTTAGTTTGCTGGTGAAGTTAATTATAAACTACAATATTGGCAGCTTATTCAACCTTTTTGTATGAAATCATATTTCTGGAGAAATTTTAGATAGAAAAATGTCCACAGAGTGAAAATGAAAGTCTTATCCCAGGCATGACCTTGGTTACAAACTATAGAGTTTGTGGTTTTTTATAGCATTCTCTACACTAAAATTAATATGTTGTCATGTTTAGTGGCCTTGAGGCACTTGAGGAAGAAGTTTACCACTTAATATATTCTTCCCTTATTTTTAGAATCTACCAAAAATGAGACCATCACAAAATTTCTACAGCTGTGTATATTTCCTCGATGTATTTTTTCAGCAATTGATGCTGTTTACTGTGCTCGTTTTGTTGAATTGGTACATCAACAGAAAACTCCAAATTTTTCCACACTTCTTTGCTATGATCGAGTAAGTTCTTTTTATTGCAACCTTTAAAAAAAAAAAGTCTCACACAAAGATAGCTAAACATTATAAGCTATAGAGGTATTATTGTGTGTGTGGTTAAAAGCATGAACTCAAGAGCCAAGTGCCTGAACTTGAATCCTAGCTCTGCTACTTTCTAGCTATGTGATCTTTGGCAAGTTTTTTAACTTCCCTGTGCCTCATTTTTCTTATCTGTAAATTGGGGTAATAGTACTTGCTTCAGAAGATTGTTGTGAGGATTAAATGAGTCACTAGACACAAAAGCACTTTGAATAGTGCCTGACACGTAATAAGCACCCCTAGTTAATCTATTAACTCATAATATGGGTTTGTATGTTTGTCAGTAATAGGTAGAACACTCTTCTTCATTCTTAACCTTCACCCCCTCACAAAACAACAAAACGGCTTACACCTTTGCACACACATAAAAACAGGGATGCTTTTCAGTATGGTCACATTTATGTAATTTTGCTTCTGGCTTTTTTCTTAATAATAAATTACTGCATTTGTGGTTTAAAAATGTGACCTATGTCACAGCATGTCAGCTGCCTGTTTCTAGTTTCTGTGAGCCTCGCCTCTGCTTACTGTCCCCCTAACCCCAGTAATATCTATGGCTAAGCCTTTGTTGAAGAAATTATGTCGTAATGATAATTACAGTTTTTTCCTCTGTCATTGTAAATCAGCTTTTTAGAATAAAAGTTTGTTGTTGCTGTTGCTTTATGAATGTGCTGTTTCTTCACAAAAGCCAAAATCTTTAAAGGTTTCTGGAATTGTGAATATAAAAGGGGAAGATGTATAAACTAATTGTTCAGTTTATTATGATTTGCTGTAACACAACCTTTTAACATTTTGAACGAATTTTGACATTGATTTGTTTTTATTTTTCAAACGTTTTTCCTGTAGGTTTTCTCTGATATAATTTACACAGTTGCAAGCTGTACAGAAAATGAAGCGAGTCGATATGGGCGATTTCTTTGCTGCATGTTAGAGACTGTGACCAGGTGGCACAGTGATCGAGCCACATATGAAAAGGTATGGCTAATAAACACCCTTACATTTTACCCATGTATATAACAACCGCTGTCGTAATCTTTAGGTTGTTCAGTTTTAAAAGGGAAGCTGAGTTTAAGATTCAGTTGTAAAACAGTGTTTAAAATTTAAGCATAATTCATTCATCATTAAAAAGTGCTGTTTAAAAAAGTTCTATCTCGAACTGACGTGCTAAATTAGTACTGTCGAATAAGCTGAACATTTCTATGAAAACTACATATCATTTGGATCTTGTTTTTACATGGAATCATTCACCTAGTCCACTTAAGTTTTCTGGGGCAGAATTTTTCTTTAACAGCCTTTTTTTTTTTTTTTTTTTAAAGGAATGTGGAAATTATCCAGGATTCCTTACTATATTACGAGCAACTGGATTTGATGGTGGAAATAAAGCTGATCAATTAGACTATGAAAATTTTCGACATGTTGTGCATAAATGGCATTACAAACTAACCAAGGTAAAAAACAATTGTGTTTCTCAAAGGTAGTTTTTCACTTTATACTTAATATTTTTATAATAATAGGTCTTAAAATGTTTGTTGTAGGCATCGGTACATTGCCTTGAAACAGGCGAATATACTCACATCAGGAATATTTTGATTGTGCTAACAAAAATACTTCCTTGGTACCCAAAAGTTTTGAATCTGGGTCAGGCTTTGGAAAGAAGAGTGCATAAAATCTGCCAAGAAGAAAAAGAGAAGAGGCCAGATCTATATGCATTGGCTATGGGGTAACACAATTATACTTTAATGTGATTTATGAGACTAGATGACAGAAGGATTCTGAAGACTTTAAAATGTTTTCCAGTGTTGAAGTTTATCTTCTGCCTTACTTCAGGAGATTATGGGAGATTATGCGATCATGTTCCCACAGGCTGGTGAGAGTTGTCACTTCTGATTATCAGCTTCCGGTCTATACTGGATGATAGTTTTGAAAGTCATATATAGTATGTCTTGGTTTGGAGGAAATGTAATTTATCATCAGTTGAGTTTTGGATCTTCAATAGTGTAAAAAAGACAGTTTAAGGATCAGTTTACATTTTTAGTTTTAAGAAAGCAGCTGGGGCTCTCTCTAAAGACCTTCAGGAACTTACTCAAAATTAATATTTTTGACTCTTTGGAATCAAGTAGCAGGGTGAATAACTTGCTAATTTTATTCTTTTAAACTCCGTGTTTGTGCTCTTTGATTTGTATTTGTATATTTAAACACTTTGTGCGACTTTCAGCTACTCTGGGCAGTTGAAAAGTAGAAAGTCATACATGATACCTGAAAATGAGTTTCATCACAAAGACCCCCCTCCGAGGAATGCGGTTGCCAGTGTACAGAATGGGCCTGGGGGTGGGCCTTCTTCATCGTCGGCAGGAAGTGCATCCAAATCGGATGAAAGCAGTACTGAGGAGACTGGTAGGCTTATTTGTAGAAACTTATAAGTGATACATTTTGTTGCAACAAACTAAGATGTTTTATGTCACGTGACAAGTAAAATGCTAGCTTAGTATTATTTTTATTCCCTAGGTGGGAGTATATAATTATCAAGAAGTAATCAGCCCTTTGTTTCTTTAGAAAGAATGAATTAGAATTCATCTCTAATCATTTTGCTGTGAAATTGTACTTGATTTACAGTTGGGGCTTGTCAAATAAAACCTTACCTTTATTTCAGATAAATCAAGGGAGAGATCTCAGTGTGGTGTGAAAGCTGTTAATAAAGCTTCTAGTGCCACACCAAAAGGGAATTCAAGCAATGGAAACAGTGGCTCTAACAGGTAGGAACACTGTGCTGTATGTCACAATTCTGAATTCTTAAATGATTAATCTCATTAGACATGAATGAAGGAGGGTGGTAGTTGAATACTATGAAAGTCATTTATGTTGGACTTTCAAATTTTGTAACTACCCCTAATTGGATGATGTGTGTAACCATCCTCCATATGTTTTGTATAATGCCACGACTAACATTGTTTCCCCTGCTGAGTTACGCAGGTGAAGGCAGGTGGGGAAGTTAGAAAAACATTTTAGGATTGGGGTCCCTGGGTAGCTCAGTCGGTTAGGCATCCTACTTCAGCTCAGGTCATGATCTCACAGTTCATGAGTTCAAGCCCTACCTCAGGCTCTGTGCTGATAGCTCAGACAGAGCCTGGAGCCTGCTTCGGATTCTGTGTCTCCCTCTCTCTCTGCCTCACCCTTGCCCTCTCTCTCTCTGTCTCTCTCTCAAAATAAACATTAAAAACTTTTTTACAAAAGAAAAAGAAAAACATTTTAGGATTGAGTGCTTGCTATGGGTATTCCGGGTAAGGATGCTTAACATAAAGGAAGCCTATGCTGATTCAGACCAGGGATCCATCCAGCCAAGTAATCCAGTTCCTGATAGTAGCACCCTTGGTTGGTGGGTGGGATAAGTTTCAGTTGTTAACCTTGTAATCCTCAGAGGTTATGAACATGTATAGAAAAGGGCCTGCCATTCTTTTTAATCTGCTGTTCATGAATTTGGTCATTTTTTACTGGATAAAGAAGTACTTCCTTTTTATTTGTCTTAAAGTCATTTAGTTTTCAAAGGGCTTCTCTTAGTTCTGTTATTTTTGAAGTCTGTAGGAAACCCTTTATGATTTATATAACATGGAGTATGTTTCTTTATTGCCTTAAAATCTCGTGTTTTTATTCTTAAGCAGCAAAGCTGTTAAAGAAAATGATAAAGAAAAAGGGAAAGAGAAAGAAAAAGAGAAAAAAGAAAAGACTCCAGCTACTACTCCAGAGGCCAGGGTACTTGGTAAAGATGGTAAAGAAAAACCGAAGGAAGAGCGGCCAAATAAAGATGAAAAAGCAAGAGAGACGAAGGAAAGAACACCTAAGTCTGATAAAGAGAAAGAAAAATTCAAGAAGGAAGAAAAAGCTAAAGATGAGAAATTCAAAACCACCATCCCCAACATAGAATCAAAATCAACTCAAGAAAAGGAAAGAGAGAAGGAGCCATCCAGAGAAAGAGATATAGCAAAGGAAATGAAATCAAAGGAAAATGCTAAAGGAGGAGAAAAAACACCCGTTTCTGGGTCCTTGAAGTCACCTGTTCCCCGATCAGATGTTGCAGAGCCTGAAAGGGGCAAGTTTTTCTTTATATTTACTTTTGGGTCTTGTTAATGTGTAATAGTTGGTTCTTGTTTTCTTGTTTTGGCAAGTTATCTAGGGACTTTACTGAGGGGAACTCATATTTGATGACCTTAAGTTGGTGGTTTTTCTTAAGTGGTTGGAAAAAAGTAGAAATCTTACTGTGACCTTTTCTTTTTGTACCAACAGAACAAAAACGCCGCAAAATTGATACCCACCCTTCTCCATCGCATTCCTCAACAGTAAAGGTTAGTATAGCCTGAGGAAGGCAGCGTCCATGTTAGGCTCACCTGGTTGGAATACGTGTCCTGACTTCCTTCAAGTCTTGTGCCAAGTATTCACTGGAGCCACTGGAGGTTTTATATTGCATTAGAAAATGAATTTTTTACATATTGGTGGACTGATATTTTTTCCTATTGAGTATTTTTATTATAAAAATATTAAAACTACAAAGGACCTAGCACTAATTTTGTAGTGTTTCAAAGTGCAAGAGAAATTTTACCCAGAAGTGCCTCACTGCTTTAAGCAGTCATTTTTGGAGTGCAATGGTAGCTACAAGCAAATGAATCTTTTCAGCAGAATGAAGCCTATTTTTCAGCATAAATATTGAAGAATATATAGCACTGAAGACTTCCTGGATGATGCAGGATAAACAAGATACCTCTGAATTCATCAAGCTTCTTGATGAGCATCATACCGATGTGTGCCTTCTAAGAAGGAGTCTTGAAAGGAGTTCCATTTTAAAGTCTCCTTGGTGATCAGTTCTCCTGTAGTTGTGTATATTCAGTGAGCATGCAGCTTCTGTTGTATCTTCCCTTGGAGGTTTGTTTATACCCATTGGGTTCCCAACAAGTTGAACCTTGCGTTACGATAAAAGCAGATGTGGCATCCAATCCTACCACCCAGCAAAGAGAAACCCCAGGCATTCAACTGCAGCACAAAATCGTGGGTGTAGCCTTCTTGAAGACTCAGGGTAGCCATTCCTTGCTCCATATTTAATTTTAATTCTAAAGCCATCTAATTTCATGGAATCTTTGAATTTGCAGTACGTTGAACTTTTAAAACTGTAAGTTAACTAATTCTTCATCAAAAGCACTGTGGTGGAATACCGTAATTGATTTCTTTTTCTTTCTTTCTCTCTTTCTTTTTTAAGTGCTTTTTTTGTGGGAGGCATGCGATTCACCACCAGACGCATTTTGCAAAAAAAGTGATTACTCTTTTAAAGAATACATTTTGTTTTCTTGTTAATATAATGCCACTGAATTTTTTGGGCTGGGTTTAAAAATGCATATATTTATGGTAGAGTCATAAGTAAAGTAAAAATTGAAACCTCCCAATTAAAGAAAAACTATGAAAATGTAAGATAATGTTCTTCCACAGTGACCTCCACTGTTTTAGACATTTTATGGAGGGGGAAAAATGTTTTGTTTTCTTAAGCCTCTTAACATTACCTATAGCTTACGTACAGTGTTATGAAAAATGTGGCATTGACATTTATGTTTAAATTATAAGCAGATAAAGATTTTTATTTGTTATTACATTGAGTATATATAATTTAGTTTTTTTTAACATTACAATTCCATTACATGGTTTTGCTTTTGTTTTTTATTGTTGATATTCATATAATAATTGACATCATGAGATTTATCCTCACAAGAAGTAGCTGGTTTATTTCCAGGTTACAGCCATACTTCCCAAAGTTCCTCTGGGTTCTGAGAACTATGCCAGCTCACCTGTCATCTCCATTCATTTTCTACAGGACAGTCTCATCGAACTCAAGGAGTCTTCAGCAAAGGTTTGAGTCTTTTAAAATCATCATGCCTAAGTAAAACAAAAAAAAATTCTTTACTTCATTTATTTAGTAGATACCTTCACCCTAGTAAATTCAGTAAGCTAGTAGAATAACCTTTAAAAATAACTACCACAAACTGAAACAATGGATGACAACGGTCCCTTTCAATGAGATTGTTATCAAATGTGTGTAATGTGGCAACACTTTTATAATCTCTTACTGCTTGCTGTGTTATGAATTATTCTTTTATGCTTTGAAATCTGGAAATACGTTTAAGGTTTGGGGAAGGGGTTGTTGGTTTGTTTTGGGGAGTAGGCTTATTTAATTTCTCAAAGCAAATCTGTCAGGTTGTTTTCTGACATTTTAGGATAACCCAAAAGACCAAAAAAGAAATTTGATACATCCACATAACTGTTCTAAAAACTGAGCCCATCCCAATCCGTAAAACTCTTTATTGCCTCTGCTGAGCTACCCTTTTGGTAGTTGTAGCATAATATCAAGAAATATGGTTAATGTAAACTAATCATTCTCTTGGAGGGGAATACTCAACTCGATGGTTGCATGTAATTACATGTCAGTATTAATTCTTGCCTATTACTCTACTTTTTTGAGTATTCTTCTACTAAAAATAATGTGCAGTTTGTGTATCTTATTACAGAGTTCATTTCATTATTGTAGTTGAATTGTCCATTGTTCATGTTATTTTGTCTATTATAAAATTTGTACCCTTTTTCACCTTGATTTTCCACTTTGCCGCCTCTTATATCTGCTAAGTAGTATTTCTTACTGGTGGACCAATACAAAATTAAATTTTGAAATAAAGCCAGTTGACATTACTGCTTTTAGATATATAGCTTTATAATGAAATGTCTGTTGGATATTGGGCAAATAAGCACAAAGTTTTTAATAGTTTAGGTTAGCCAATGTGCCTTTGTCCTGAAACTGTAGCATTGTTTTCCGAGTATACTGTATCAATCAAAAGAGTATTAGCTGTACTGTGTTTGCTTTGAAGGTAAAACTTTTTATTGGCTAAATTGTATTGCAATATAGTTGGTTTTCATAACCAGTTTGGGATTGTGCATATCAGTCTTAACCATCAGTGGCTTGGTATGGGCTATTTTAAATTCATGGGTTAACAGGGTTACCTTGTGAGTATTTATGTCCTGAAACATACTTTGAAGCAGTTGAAACCTGCTGTTACAGTTAACTGCATTTTCCAATCAACGATGAAAATGATGATTCCTTACATTTGCAGAAACCTTTTGAAGATAAAACACGTGAAATAAACATGTTATTCTCATTTTATGTTCATAACCATGCTGTGAGGTAGATAGGGCAGGAGGGGCAGTGTCTTTTTGACAAATAAGAGACTAAAAAAGTTCTTGATCCTTTCCCAGTGGCATGTAACTTGTTAGTCATACCAAAACTTGGACTAAAATTAAGGTTCTTCAAGTATTCCTACCACAATGAAAAAAAAATTGCAAAAAAAATGTATGTCTCTTGATTCTTAGCACCCATTGCACCAGTAGTTGGAAGGGGTTCCTAACTCCGTTAATGTGTTTGCCTTGTTTTAAAAACTACTATCTCCCTACCCCTCTTTAAAAAAAGATAGTGATTTTCTGGGTATTTAAAATTCAATACATTTATTCCACATTCAACCAAAATTTTTTGAAAATGGCATCTGAATGCACTTATAAAAATCAGGTGACTCCTACCACTTTTTAGATCCTTCGTGCTTGGTATGGTAACTTAGTGATATGATTAGGTGTTCAATAAATATTTGAAATGAGCCTTTGGACTTTGGTAAACCATCCAAAGATTACTGGTCTGCACAGAAGGTGATGTTGCATTTTTATATATCTAGGAGAGTACAATAGCATATGAATGTCTTAGAAAAACTACTTTACCGGAAAAAGATCACTTTTTCAGTGATTTCTAAAATTGACAGTCTGTATAAGCTCACTGTTTCTGGGTAGCTTTTCCTTTTTTGAGGATTTGAGTGATGTGTGTCTCTTTCGTGTTATCTGGTCACTCATACGTATAAAATTGTTTCTATACTTTAATTTTTCAGTTATGCTTTGTCCCTGGGATCCTCTTTTTTTTAAGTGAAATTACTTACTATTTTTGCTTTCAGATCCATGGTAAAAGTAATACATGGATTTGATTAAAGGGAGAAAAATCTAGCTTAATATCCAAATCTTTTCTGTTTACCTTCCACCCCCCAATTTCCAATTTGCATATTTCCACTATGGTTACTTGTGTTTTCACCTAGCAATCCTAGCAGCTATATTTGATGAAGAAAGTGTGAAAAGCATTCTCCTTTATCTAGGCTTCTCTGTAATTTAGGAGGGCAGCAATAACCATCCTCGAAACAGAATTCAGATTTTAATTTTGTTCATCTTAAAGCAAGGATTTATAATCAAAGGAAGCCTAGAAGCAAGACCATCTTTATATATGGTAGCCTTAATAAAGTCAGTGTAGCAACGTTAACAGATTGTAAAAATCAATCCTAATTTTTGGACCCATTGATCCCAATGTCCAGAATAAAAGCACATCAAAAGCAAAATCCAACAACGCTATATGCAGATCAATTTAACAAATCATTAATTTTGTTTGGCAAACATGTGTTGAGTACTTGGCATTAGGAAATGTGTAAAAGTAAAAAAAAGACACATTAATGAGCTCAACTAGTATACTGGAAACTGTGTTATGGACAAAAATAAGTGACATGAAATTAATAGGGAATACCTGTCACAAAGAAGATTGATAGAAAATAATAAAGAGATCACCACAAAGTGAGTTGCAGAGTTGAGGGATGATTGAAGTGCTGATGGCTTTTGAGCTGTCTTTGAAGGTTAGTAGGATTTTAAGAGATTGAGATAAAAGCGAGCAACCATTCTGGTGAAGAGAACTGCTGGGAAGGACAGGGTGTTAGGGGGCCAGTGGTTGCCACAGCATAGAGCGTATTGAGTTGGCCCATAGCAGGATAAAATTGTGCAAAGATTGTGAAGAGCTTGGAAATACCTAAGCTGAGGAGTATGCGTTTTATTCCACAGGCAATGAGAGACTGCATGTTAATTGTGGAAAAGAGACTATTGTGATCAGAACTATTCTTAGAAGGGTAGGAAGAAGGAATAGAGTTAGGTATGTTTCTAAACTAAGAATGTATAGGTTTTTCAATACCCTGCAATACAGAATTCAAGCTAGGCGCAATTAAAAACTTAATTCTTGTAGAGGTGTATGTGTGTGCATGGGTGTGCTTGTGTGTGCTTATTTGTTCTCTCTCTCTCTCTCTCTCTCACACACACACACACACACACACACACACACACACACACACCTGTGTTTTGCTTTTATCAGGAGAATTACCTTGGTTAGTGAAATCTTTTGAGTATTGCAGAAATATATTATTTGTTTTGTCTTACCAGTTTCACAGGTAATATTAACTTAAGATATTAGTAAACCTCACAATTAGAAAATCTTGAAGTGTTGCTTAGGGCATTAACCCAGCAAGAGCACCTTTCGGACAAGCACTTTTATGACTGTTTTTCATTCTCTTGCTCTTTGTTATTAATAAACATTTTGTCTATTTCAGTTGATCATCAACTTTTAAATATTGACATTTTAAAGAATCTACTTCTGCATTGCTATGGCAGTATTTCTGACCAACTGAATTGAAAATATTTGGTGGTGTTAAAAAACTAAGCGTTTAATTTTCATATGGACGGTTGCCTTTTTTTCATGTATTCCTTTGAATACCAAAGGATTTCCTCATGTAAAACTATTTGACTTTTGACTCAACTATTCTTTTCATTCCTAAGGTATATCTAGGATTGTGTAGTTATGTAATGAGTTATATTTTGTACACTGCTGCCTAATACTTTATGTAATGTCTTAAATTGAGTATAAGCTTATAGCACAGTTATAAATGCTGTAAGGATAGGTATCTGATTACTTCCTTAATGTTTTCTTTTATACTAGATTTCCATATTTACAACTTGCGTGAGTTATTAAAATTATCTCTTAATTAGTAGATAGTCCACTTTTGCTCTTTGGCTGTTTATTGCCTGTGGGCCTTTTTGGCAGAGAAAGAATTCATCATTTGTCAGTCTTGGGAGTCGTTTTATCATCCTCAGCTGACCAAATGGTTTTCTGAGCCATTTAGGACCAGTAAGACAAATTTCACAGCGAGTTGCGATTATTTAGTAGAAATTGGAGTGTTTTAAGAAGTAAGGGAGAATGCAGCCTTTACATTTATAAAAATAATTTAGGATAATGTTAACATGGTATATGCAGAGGCAGAAAAGACTTAATAGTAAAGTCCTGGCTAGGTTTTTATACTTTGGCTCACTGTCATCAATTGCCTAAGTGGACGGTAAAACTGTTTAAAATTTCCATGATTGTTGTAGATATTTGTGTGTTTTTTTTGTTTTGTTTTGTTTTTTTAACAATAGAGAAAGTCCAGACACTGTTTTTCACATCTGTACTCCTGTAGTGGTGGTAGTTATAGATCTTCACAACAGAGCTATAAAAGAACTGTAGCTTGTAGATTTACTGAGTCTCAGTTAAGGCAGGAGTGAACTGACTGAATTTAAATGAAAAATTTTGGAAGGCCAAGAATTGAAGTCTTTGCATAATTTGTGCCATGCTCTTTTATTTCACCTCTTATAATCCAGACAGCTGACCAGTTTTGACTTTGGGTCTAACAACCAGTTGTCTTTCATTAAATAAACAATCAAACAGGTTATGCCGATAGTGGAAAACTAATAATCTTTAGTAATATTGCCTTAATTTAACAGCTCTACCTTAATCATACTCCTCCACCACTGTCCAAGAGTAAGGAGAGAGAAATGGACAAGAAAGACTTGGACAAGTCAAGGGAAAGATCCAGAGAAAGAGAGAAAAAAGATGAAAAGGACAGGAAAGAGCGGAAAAGGGTTTGTAATTTTTTAAAAACTAGTTTGGAAAGCCATTATATCTTATATGGTAGTGTGTTTGTTGTCTTTTTTGAAGTACTAGTTTGTTGCATGGCAGGCTGTTATTTAGTGTTTAAACTGGTATTTTCACCCCAAAGTGTGTTTGACTCTTCTACAGTAATACGGATCTTCAGTTTAGTAATCTCTGCCAGCTCTGCCTGTCTTTCATGTCATTTTCCCAAGTGTGAGACACTATTGGCAATACCCTCCGATGCTAGTTAGCTGTGCCCTTGTATAAAAGTAATATTTTAAAACAAAAACGTAACCTCTTGATCAATGTAGTTCACAATTCTTGGTTCTAGGATCATTCAAACAATGACCGTGAAGTGCCACCGGACTTAGCCAAGAGGCGAAAAGAGGAAAATGGAACAAGTAGGTGGATTTATTAATACTTTTGAAGCAGTCATCAAACTGAATTGGAAAAGGCTTTCATGATTCTCTTTTATAATTTTAGTGGGGGTTTCAAAACACAAAAGTGAAAGTCCATGTGAGTCTCCTTATCCAAATGAGAAAGACAAGGAAAAAAATAAGTCAAAATCTTCAGGCAAAGAAAAAGGCGGCGATTCGTTTAAATCTGAAAAGATGGATAAAATCTCCTCTGGTGGCAAAAAGGTAAATTGGGAAAAGAAAGTGACAAAATGCTTTATCTCAAAACTTTGAATACTTAGCACAGATGGAGTTTTTTGGTAATCTAATCGTCTCGTTGATTATTTGAGGGTGGGAAGAAGAGGCATTGGGGAAGGCAGTGTATCTGGCAGATTGGAGCCAGTACGGTCCCACATTACTGGGAGAGTAGAATTAGTTTATCGCTGAAATTCCCTTTCCTTTCACTCACTCCCACCTACTTCTGTTCATTGACTTTTAGCCTAGCCTTTTTGTTTTCTCGCCCCCACTCCGCCAACAGTGATTTTAGTGTCTTTACATTCATGAGGTTAAAATATGGTCACATGTATTCTCCCTGATTGTTAACATTGTCATAAAGTCTTTATTAATTGTGATTTTAAACATTTTTATAACATTTTCTCATAAACTTATGTGTGTACAACTTGTATTTGATTTTCAAACTTAGTGTGTATTCTCTTAGATATCATGGGTGATGTTAAGAATGCATTTCCTGCATCTGCCATAAAGTAGGCAAGTCATTACTAAGGTGTAAAGTGTTTCGAAAGCATTATTATGGTATATATAGTCATAGTTCTTTTTTATTTTTTAATATATTTTTAAAAACGTTTTGTTTATTTTGAGAGAGCAAGCATGCGCAAGTGGGGGAGGGGAGGGAAGGGGGAGGGAAGGGGGAGGGGCAGAGGTTCCCAAGCAGGCTCCTCGCCACCAGCACAGAGTCCGGCCCGATGGAGGGCTCTCTAACTCACGAACTGCGAGATCATGACCTGAGCCGAAGTCGGACGCTCAACCGACTGAGCCACCCAGGCGCCCCTGTAGTCACAGTTCTTAAAAGCAATTTTGGAAAATTATAAGGTGATAGTTTTAAAATTTCTATATGCTTTAAATGTGAGGCTTCTCCTTTTAAATAAGTATTTTTAAATTGAGGTAAAATTCACATAACATGAAAAAAATCGTTTTAAAATGTACAATTCAATGGTATTTAGTATATTTACAGTATTGCACAATCAACATAGCTAGTTCCAAAATGTGTTTACCACTCCAGAGAGAAACTCTGTACCCATTCAGCAGTCATTCCCAATTTCCCTCTCCTTTTAGCACCTGCCAACTACTAATCTGCTTTCTGTCTCTCTGGGCTTACCAGTTTTGGATATTTCATATAAATGGAATTGTATAATAATGTGGTCTTTTGTGTCTGACTTGTTTCACTTAGCTTAATATTGTTGAGATTCTTCCATGGTGTAGCATGTATCGGTACTTCATGTCTTTTTATGGCTAAATAATATTCCATTGTATGAATATCCCACATTTGTTCATCCATTTGTCAGTTGATGGACTTTTTTGTTGTTCCCTTTGGCTATTATGAATAGTGCTGCTATGAATGTTTGTGTGCTGCTCTGAAGTGTTTGTTTGAAGACCTGTTTTCAGGTCTCTTGTCTGTATACCCAGGAGTGGAATTTCTGGGTTATATGGTAATGCTATGCTTAACGTTTTGAGGAACCCACAAACTGTTTTCTACAGTGGTTGGACAGTTTATGTTTCTACCAGCAATGTACAAGGGTGCCAATTTCTCTACATCATTGCCAAGACTTGTTATTTTCTGTGTTTTTTTTTTTAAAATTATTTTAATTACATTGTTTTAAAATTCTAGCCATCCTAGTGGGTGTGAAGTGGTATCTCATTGTGGTTTTGATTTCGCATTTTCTTAATGACTAATGATATTGAGCATCTTTTCATGTGCTTGTTGGCCATTCATATACCTTCTTTGGAGAAATCTCTTCAGATGCTCTGGCCATTTTTAAATTGGATTGTCTTTTTGTTGCTCAGTTGTAAGACTTCTTTATATAGTCTAGATACTAGACCCTTATGAGATGTATGGTTTGCAAAAAACATTTCCTCCCATTCTGTACATTGTATTTCACTTTCTTGATAGTGTTCTTTGATGCATGAAAGTTTTTATTTTTGATGAAGTCCAATTTTTTTGTTGTTGCTTGTGCTTTTGGCATCATTAAATACGTTTTTGAAGAAAAACATGTGACTGGTGGGTGATAAAAAGGATTTTGAGCTGATTTTTATATTTGGTTTTCCCTTCCCCGACTAATTCCACCATTCCTTATAGGAGTCCAGGCATGATAAAGAAAAGATAGAAAAGAAAGAGAAACGGGACAGTTCAGGAGGAAAGGAAGAGAAGAAACAATATCCTTTTCATCTTACTGGCGTATTTACAGTGTAATGGAAAGCTTTGATACTGGTCATGTTTAGAATTGTACCCTTGTAGTATGTGGTCTGATTAAAGTTGAAAGGCTTAACTAACCTTTAAGTAGTTTCTTCAGTTAACCCTCTTGAGTGTATGAAATGTCAAAGGGGGAGACTTGATATATTTTCTTTTTAACCTCTGTGGTGACTGAGGTTGTTTTACGCCACCAAGATTCTCTCTGGCTGTATTGCCACCAAGAGGAAGAAAGGGAACAGAGTCCTTTGGGCCTGGGCATGGGGAATAGAAGGGCAAGATCATGAAGCAGATGAGCAGGGCTGGTAGAGGTTGAGGCTACCAGGCTAGTCAGAGCCAAATAGGACCGTGAGCTGAAGGATTGCACCAGAAGTTGAGACACCATTCCTTTTTTTTTCAAAGTTGTTTTCCCTTAATTTGTCATCTACTCATAAGTCCTCGGACAAGCACAGATAATGAAGACTTTCAATCAAGGTGAGTGTTCTCTCACCTCCTTTCATTTAAAAGGAGAGAGATGAAATGAGGTCTGAAAATGTTGAGGAAACTAGATACATTTTGCAGGATACAACTAGAATTTTGCACCTAACTGTAATGACCAGGTCTTTGGGGTATAGATGTAAAATAAGATTCACAGTTATTTTTAAACTGTTTTCATCTTAAGCTTGCTGATTAGCTATGGGTCTTTTTTTTTTTTTTTCCTTTTTCTTAGCACCAAGATGTATTTAAGAACATCTGGCTTTCTCTTCAGCACTCATTCCCGTCTTCTGTAGATAATCATTTACCTTTTTTAAGTACCGATAGCCTTATAGGTGGTGCTGGCATCTGCACTTTACAGGTGAAGAAATGGAGACTGAGAGGTTCAGCTGAAGAGGCTGACAGAGATACTAGCTGGCAGAGCCAGTATTCACAGCATAGGTTTCCTTGCCCATTAGTGTTCTCTGTTCTTCTTTTTGCCTTTTCACGCAGACATGTTATCCAGAAATTTTTAAGTTTTTGTGCATTTTCTACCACAGCCCATGTTTTTGCAAGGCCAGAAAATCCAGTCTGTGCTTTTAGTTCTGGAATTTAAAATACACAATTTTGTTTTCAAGGTAATTATGCCTTATATGAGATTTAAAAAGTGTTTAACCATCTTAAATAAATTGTATGTGGACAGCAGCCTACTCTTAGTGAAGAGTGTGTTCAGAACCTAATGCAGTCTTGTTTGAGCACTCCGATCATCTGAATAGCTGTTGTCTGCTGATGCCTTAGGATTATTAGGGTCTGTAGAATGCTTTGCCCTCTACATGTAATGGCTTGAGATGGCTGGATTTGAAGTTGTTGACTTTTTGGTAGCTCATTTTCTTGCTTCCTTATTAGCTGTCACTTCTTAATGATACCAAGTGTACTTGCTATCTGTACCCTCCCCCTAATATTTGCTGCTGCTTTTATGAAACCAGAGAGATAACCAAGGCCTTTTAGGGTTAAATTAAGAGTCAGAAAGGTAGGAGAGCCCATTCTGTATTAAAGTATGAGTTTTAAGGAATGGATTTTGCCCAGGATGGGGACTTGAGTTTGCCAGATGGATAATGCCCTGATAGGTGGTGTGCCTTTTCAGCTTTGTTCTTATCTGCTTGTTATCTATGTAGTAGAATGGGGTAAATGAGAGTTAGGGGAGAACATTTACAATTTAATAGATTTTTAAAAAAATCTTTAGAAAGGTTGCCCCTTCCTCAGTTCTAGTCATCCTCTGCCCCAACAACTAGCTGTCTTCCCTGCTGAGCTATAAACTCTTCATCTTTCTTCTTTTTTTATTCTTCACTTTACTTTCTTTTATTTTGACATTTTGTTTGTTAAACCTTTTTTTTAACGTTTATTTATTTTTGAGAGAGACAGAGACAGAGTGCGAGTGGGGGAGGGGGAGGGAGAGAAGGAGACAGAGAAGCCGAAGCATGCTCCAGGCTCAGAGCTGTCAGCAGCACAGAGCCCAATGTGGGGCTTGAACTCATGAACTGCGAGATCATGACCTGAGCTGAAGTCGGACACTCAACTGACTGAGCCCCCCCAGGCGCCCCTTGCTTTTTTAAAACTTTTTGCTTTCACCTGGTCTCCTTATTAAGCAGAATGAAAAAACCTGCCACTTATATCTTCATTAGGAATGAGTCAACCATTGTGACTGACCACTTTTTCACTGTGATTCTATACAGCTCTCTCTTCACTCAGTACCTAAGTATTATTCTTTGGTATGTGAAAGTTCTACTGCAGATTTCTTTGAGTTCTTACTCACACGGGCCATGGATTTGTACTTTATCTTTCTCTATACTCTCTCAGGACCAAAGGCATGAAAGATTGGCTTGGGTATTAGATGTTAGGTCGGTGGTCTTGTAACAGAGCTTCTCAATTCAGATATTCTTTTAAGATACATTTGGCTTGATGTTCATCCTATTCAATTTCTTCTTGACAACTATGTCCTATACTTTCTCCTTGGGTAGACTCTGAATTTTGTGAGGCTCTGGTTTTTTTTCCCTTCTTCTGGCTGTTCTGGCTGCCTCTTTTTTTTTTTTTTTTTTTTTAAGTTTTATTTATTTAGTGATCTTTAACACCCCATGTGGGGCTGGAACTCACGAGCCCGAGATCAAAACTCCCACTTTCTTCCAACTGAGCCAGCCAGGCCCCCTCGGCTGCCTCTATTTGGATACATTCTAGAATTGGTCAAGTCTTTCTGTTCTTTTTCCTTTAGATGTTTCATCATTTCTGATTGGCACCATTTACCTTTAGGCTACTTCAAATCTGCTCCCTGCTTCCTTTTTTTACTTTATGTTCTACAGAAAAGAGAGCTGCTACATAATGTCACATTTCCATGATTCAAAGATGTTATTCTTTTAAGTTTATTTATTTATTTTGAGAGAGAGGAAGAGAGAGAGACAGAGACACAGTGTGAGCAGGGGCGAGGGAGAGAGAGAGGGAGAGAGAGAATCCCAAGCATGGAGCTGGAGCCCAGTGTGGAGCTTAAACTAACCACGAACCCTGAGGTCATGACCTGAGCTGAAACCAAGAGTCAGATGCTTAGGGGCGCCTGGGTGGCTTAGTCGGTTAAGCGTCCGACTTTCGCTTAGGTCATGATCTCGCGGTTCGTGGGTTCGGGCCCCGCGTCGGGCTCTGTGCTGACTGCCAGCTCAGAGCCTGGAGCCTGTTTCAGTCTGTGACTCCCTCTCTCTCTGACCCTCCCCTGCTCAAGCTGTCTCTCTCTCTCTCCTAGAAATAAATAAAACATTAAAAAAAAAAAAAAAAAGTCAGATGCTTAACCGACTGAACCACCCAGACGCCCCATCGGAGATGTTTAATTGCAAGATTCATTGTTGGTTTCTAGAACTGTTTTTTGAGTAGGATGGATATGGAAATGACATTGATTTGTAAATATCACCCTGATTTTAGAAAAAATAAAATGAGATAAGAGTTACGTAAGATTAGAAATAAGAAAATGAAATATATAAATGTGACCCAGATTAAATTCCTTCCAAAGTCTTCTGTCATCTTTTCTATCTCACAGTTTTTAGTGGTAAAATTCTTTCTTGTTCTCTGTACCTTCTGTTACTTGTTATTACTAACATTTTTGTCCAGATGTATCGTATCTCCTTGATTTAGTCTCTTGAATACTACTAGCTGCTTTGTCTTTAACTTTTTCCCCTGGTTTAATCTCTAAAAATTCCTATTAAAATTTTTCTCTTAGGACTATCCTTTAGCTTCTCAATTTTATTTGGTATGTGTGGTCCTCAGTTCATGAGTGTCAAGTTTAGCTAACTTTTAAAGAGTCCTTTTGTGAGCCAGATGCCGTGCTGAGGCTTGCTCCCAGACTTTGAGAAGCTCAGTCTTCTGGGACTTTAATTTTTGATCTCCGAGAACACGAGCAGTGAGGCAAGCGCTTCCCTATCCATCTGCATTTGTAGTGTCCTCACTTCTGATAGTAATCCCCCTCCAGCAGGGCCTGATCATTTTCGCAGGTTCTCTCTCTGCCAGTATCCCCTGTGTAACCTCTCTTATCCTTTAAACCCAGGGTTGCAAATGGGCAGAATGTGGCTTGTTTGCATATTTTCTTGGCCTCACACAATAGTTAACATTGTTTTAATTGATTTCCTTTAAAAATCCGAAGAGTTGACAAAATCCGAATTTCCGTTTTTCTCGAGGAATTGGAATATCTGGCAACACTGTGTCCTGCTAGACCTGGCCACCCCACCCCCCACCCCCTTTGATAGAGAGTGGGTCTTGTCTTGTCTTGTCTTGTCTTTTCTTTTCTTTTCTTTTCTTTTCTTTTCTTTTCTTTTCTTTTCTTTTCTCTTCTTTTCTTTCCTTTTCTTTCCTTTTCTTTCTTTTCTTTCTTTCTTTCCTTCTTTCCTTCTTTCCTTCTTTCCTTTTTAATAGTTTGCCTCAGCCAGTCCCCACCCAGCTGACTTCATTTGTTCCCATTATGTATTAGCCTCTGTAAACAATTGATTTCGCAATTCCTGTTCTCAGCCTTTTCCCTTCAGTCCATACTTGGAAATTGACTTCCTAAATGCTCTGAGATTGCTAATTTTAGGAATGTGTTGCCATGGTGAGGCACAGTCCTAGGTACTGGGAATATGTGTTGGAGTGGGGAGTGTTTGGTTACGTTTCTTTCTCAGTTTCCCATTGCTTACGTGTGGGCATGCCAGCTTGCCTATGGAGCCGTAGGCAGATTACTATGCAATGTAGGAGGGTATCACTTATCCCTCTCCTGAGATTCTTCTGATCTTGCTGAAGGTGGCGGCTTCATCCTTTCCTTCCACTCAAACAGCCATGTACTTTTCTTTATTACCTGCTATGTTTCATATACTCTGTTAACTTCACATGGAGAGCTATGGGCAGAAGTATTACGTATACCTCTTTGGGATTGATGAGAAAGAGCATTGATTTTTTTATTTTTTTAATTTTTTGCCCTCAAAAGGTGGTTCACTTTATTTACAGTATTTGGTAGTACCCTGTTTAAAAGAAGTTTCTTTGTATACTGCAACATATTTTTTGAGGCAGGTTTATTATGCTTTTATTTGGGTCTGTATGTAGTAATCATTAAATGTGTTCAAAAGTTTCCGTTAGGAGACTGAAATGACAGACACTATTTTTCTCTTCATTCTCATCTTTTATACTCTTTAATGGGTATGCATCCTTTATACTGCTATTCCTACATACCAAATAGTCGGGCAGACTAGGAGGAATTTTCTCTTTCCCTTTTTTCCATGTAAGATAGACCACATGTTGACTAGGTGCTGTGCTGTTTTTATCGGGACATAGGCATGAGCACTTAGAAGAGAGCTCCCATGCCACATTTACCTCTGAATGGGACTGTCCCTTACATGTGCCATTATCCTAAGAGGCAGCCCTGGGTGTGCTAAGATTCAGTTCATTGGAATCCCAGTTTTAATTCTGTGTTACATTTCTCTACATAGAACATCTTGGGAAGTATGTTTGCTGTGGTCAGAATTCCTAGGTGGCAGTATAAGGATAAATGAACAGAGTAAAGTGGAAATAGGATGGCTGTCCCTGTGACCTTCTCCTGTATCTTCTTTCTTCCTCATAATGTTCGTTTGACTTTTTAACTGTCAGCTTCATCCATCTATGCCTTTCTACTGCGTGCGTGCGTATGTGAAGTTGGATCATGAAATCCTGACCGTCTCAGAAACTGGTGAAAACGAAGCTAACTAAACTCTCAGATGCCTCCTTTGAGGTGAAGACACTTAACCAAAAACCATCTATTTTGTGGGCCCATATTGTATAGTTTGTCTAAAAAATTTTTTGTTGCCATCAAGAGAGTTCTTTTATGAGGAATCTATGTACTATTGAAACATTTCTTTAGGACCTTTTTGGTGAATCTGATCGGAGAGACTGTGTGTGCGTGCGCACAGGTGTGCATAAAGAAAGGCATACCTCTGGTAAGGAGGCTGAATTTATGTTTGCCTTTCTTCTCGACTTTGATCACCAGTCTAGCTGTTCTTTTCTCCAGACCACCCTACTTTTCAAACTTGCTTCTTGCTGTCATGACTCTCTATAAAGTAACATTATGTAAAACTGGCTGCCTCAGCTCTGAGAGGGTGCTCTTAGAGGGCATTCCTTGCATAGTTTTCTGATGCCCTGACGAAGGAGGACGGCATGCGGGAGCATCAGGGAAATTGCAACCTTACTAATACATCAGGGCCTGTTAATGGGGGTGGTGGGGGGTGGAAAGAAAAACACCTCAGGATGTCCTGTCCAGATAGTACCCAGTAGAAAGTGATGTTTACAGATGTAACCATGTCTTTCTGCAAACATGGTATTGCCAGCACAGATCGTAGCACCGATAGAGCAGAACGGTCTTGCGGGGGAGGACAGCCGACTGAACAGAGCCTGAAGTAGAAACTCTGTGAGAAGTCTCACCAGTCCTAGGTGTGAAGAAGATGGATCTGTGTTATGTCTTGCATTTAAAGGAGCCTGTGCTTTCTCATTTACACTTGTGAAAGTGGCACGTGTTTAAAAAAATAGTTAATTAAAAAACCTTAGGAGAATGTTCTGGGTATTGTGGTATAAATGCATTGTCAGTGAGAAGAAAATATTACTGTGCCAGAAGATAGAGTCCTGAAGGGTGAGTTTGGCACTGGTTCATCACTGTATGACTTTCTTCTTGCTGGCAGTTCTTTCTGAAGTGCACTGAACTTGGGGTGGTTTTCAAGTTTGTAATCCCAGCACTTCAGCATTGTTTTATAAATACGCTCTGGACATTGCTGAGAGACTGACATCCAGTATCTTCTTTCCACTTGCTCTTGTGCTTGCTGATTTGTCATTCCAGGGTATGGACAGAGCCCTAAGCTGAAGGTCTCCCAGAGGAGGATGCCAAAGCTCCATGCGCCGCTCTCAGAACGATATCTCCCATAATTCAGAGCTTCTGGTGCTGTCCATTTAATGGGAATCTGCTTTAAGTCAGAAGATGAATACACACCACCATCCTCTTGACGAGACATTCCAAAGTCACTGATTTTCAGAACATTATTTTCGCCTCCAGGCAGTTTCTTGCAGCAAGGTCCCTGTGTATACAATTTTTACTCGAGATTCGTCATCCAGAAGCAGCATCTAATGAAAATTTCACTAACTGTTTTAGTTCATCCTTCTTTCTCAGAAGGGAGAGGAAGTTGCCTCCTGGAACCAATTTCTTAATGACATAGATAGGCTGTATTTGTGTGCAAACTCCTATAAGTTTGACAATATCGGGATGATTATATTGCTTGAGGATTTTGGCATCTTGTAAAAATTTTAATTTCAGTTCCCAGGAAAGATCATCTTTACGTGTTTTATCCTTTAATGGCAACAGCAGTTTTATCCTTTAAATCCCTTAAATGTATGTCAGCAAAAATTTCCTTGCCTGCTGATTCTCCTACTGTGACACCATCATGATTGAGACCCACCCCCATTTCTTATTCTAGTTACGGCCATCCCGATACCGTAATCTCTTTATTGCAACACGTTTTTTTGCAATTAAAAAAATTGAGATAAAATTTATATGACCTAAAATTTGCCATTTTAAGATGGTTTTTTAGCATATTCACTATGTTGTAGCCATTGCCACTAATTCTGGAACATTTCCATCACCCTCAAATGAGACCCCATACCCCTAAGCAGTCACTCCCGGTTCTCCCCTTCCCCCAGTCCCTGGAAACAACTAATGTACTTTCTGTTTCTATGGATTTGCCTGTTTTGGACATTTCACAAAAATGGAATCATGCAATGTGTGGCCTTTTGTGTGTGGCTTCTTTTTACTTAGCATCATGTTTTCAAGATTCATTCATGTTGTAGCATGTATCAGAACTTCATTTCTTTTTGTAACTGAATAATACTCCATTGTATGAATGTGTACCACATTTTGTTTATCCATTCATTTGTGATGGACAGGAACAATGATTTTTAAGTATTAAAATTGTAAGTTCGACATTAGTGTATCCACAACTATAATTGGTAATGTCAAGGTTATACATGGTGTGAACAGAATGCTGTATAGAAATGATGTGTAAATTATTTGTCAGCATTTCATGCAAGTGTGATTACTTTCCAAGGCCCTTCTAGCTCTGGTTTTATGAAATATGTGAATGTAGTATTTTCGTCAATAAAGTTTAATGCTTTAAGCATTAGTTTAAAATTTGAGAATAATGTTAGGCAGATATGAAGTTATTTGCCACATGCTGTAATGATCATGTTTTGAATTTATTTCAATATGCAGTATTTGAAAATGTCAGTACATAAAGGAAAGGAAATGAGTATAATTAAGTCAATATATTTTTAAAGCAATTTTTATAATTTAGCAGACATTGCATCTTAATATAAGTCACTATTAAAATCGTGTCCTTGTGAAAAATGTGATGTCATTTTTCTCTCTCTTTTTTGTTGGTCATGTAAAATCGGTTCCTTTTCATTGCTGTGTGTTCTGTTTCCTTTTGACAAGCTGTTGCTTGCCCCTGTGGAGTATTGTGTTTCATTTTATCCAACCTCCCCTCCCCTCACTTCTCTTCCTTCACAGGCAGAATGTTCAGTGGCTTTTTTTTTTTTTTTTTTTAAGCCCTCTTAGTGTATCTATTTTCAATGGTTTTGGGAGAGTGGGCAATGAGAAATACACAAATATTTCATTCTTATCTAGGGACTTAATTCAAGCCTTGGCTGTTGATTGACAGAGCTCATTGGCTTTTTGTTTCTTCAGTCTTCCTTCTTTCCTTTCTTCTTGTTTTCCTCCTTTCCTCCTTCCCTTCTCCCCTCTTTTTTCTCTCCTTTCCTCCCTCTCCCCTCCCTTACACCCACTCCTCCCTCCTCCCCTTGCTCCTCCCTTCTTTTCTTCCTTCCTTATCTATCAATATAATCACTTTGTTTCTTTCAGGTGAGATTGGAATGAAATGGTTCAGCTGTGACCTGAAATTTATTTTCCTGATTGCCAAGAATTATGAATCAAGAGGGCCAATTTGCATCTTCTTAAGTTATTCAGTTATCTGCTTTATTGCTCCATGCCGAAAACTTAAAAGCTGTTGAGTTGTGCATTACTGTATTTAACTTGTTGCTTAGTTTCTACGTGTTTATTTTCAGTAAATGGCTGAAAGTGTTAACTGTTCCATATTTTTAGCACAATGTGCTGCATACAGTTCCCAACAAGCAAATAAGGTTACTTGTGTACAGAATTTCACTTTAGGCTAACTAAATATTGCCTGGGTTTAGTTGTTTTGTTTGTTTGTTTGGTTGGTTTTTTTCAACCTGAGATGCTTCCTTTTTATTGCTTGAAACTGAAAATAAACAATTATTGAACCATTTTGAATTTACCTCATTTTAAAACTCAAGTTTTAATTTATTTTTTGGCCTGTTTTTAATATTAGTCCCTAAGAACAAAGTGGGAGCAGTGTCTTATGCAGTGCTTAGGAGTCATTTTATATAGTACGTGTACGACATGAAAACCTGTTGAAAAAAGAAAAAGGTACCAGCACTCACTTGTCCCTTGCCATTTTTCCTTGTAATTATGTTAGACAAATCTGGGAGGGGGTAAAAAATCAAAAACTTAATTGTGTTTTAATTCTACAGCTACAGGAGCTTTGTATTGCTGGACTTTCGTCTGGAAAAGTTTCACAGTGGCATTTTTAAAAGAAAACTTTTTTATCTACTGAATTCTACCAGTGTAACCATTTTTTCTAAATAAACGATAGTTTTCTCAAATGATTGTATATTATTGTGTGTATTGTTGCTTATTCACAATAACTTAGCAAAGATAATTCAGTATGGTTTCCAGCTCTCTCTCTCCATTCTGTTCTAGTCCATGGTTCTACAGTGTATTCAAATGATACCTCACTCAGTAATATGAAAAAGTCGTATTTGCTCACCTCTGCACCTGGGGAGTGGGGGGGGGGGGTAAACAGTGGGCTGAAACCATGCCCAGAGTTATCCATTTACTCTATTTCTTTGGAACCAGTGATACGTATGCAAATTAATTTTTAGAGAATGACAAGGCTATAATTTTTTAAAGGATTGAGAAATGCTGAGCATATTTTAGAATTGGCAAAGGGATATAAATCTTGATGCTTCCTTTCAGGTAATTGTAATTTGCAAAACTTGATGAGCACAATAATTATGGGAGAATGATCCATTCAGTGACTGTTGAGCACCCATGATGGGCCTGGCATAAAAAGAAATTATACATTGTTAAAATGATTTTGACATTGAGAAAAATCATTGGTCTGAAACCTACCAGGGGGGAGCACCCCAGTTATGTTGCATTCACGTTTTAAAGATGACACGATTGCGAGTTTACTTAGCATCAGTACCTCTTCCCCTTATCTCCAGATTATTGGACACGGGTGAGCTTTGGTTGCATCCCAGCTACCAATGCATCGAGGGTGGAAAGTACTAACTCTGGATTTAACTGGGCCAAAATAGTTTATGTTGGAAGTAGGAAATCTGTATTTGTGTAGTGGTAGCTATTTAAAAAATTTTTTTTTTTTAATTTATTATTTCTAGGAGAGAGAGAGACAGCGTGAGCAGGGGAGGGTCAGAGAGAGAGGGAGTCACAGACTGAAACAGGCTCCAGGCTCCGAGCTGGCAGTCAGCACAGAGCCCGATGCGGGGCTCGAACCCACGAACGTGAGATCATGACCTAAGCGAAAGTCGGACGCTTAACCGACTAAGCCACCCAGGCGCCCCAGTGGTAGCTATTTTTAAGCATCTACTCTGTTTTGGGTACAAAGGACTATTAAGATGTAACTCCTGTACCTAGGATACGTGGTAGCTTGAGAAATAAGGGCCAAATGAATGCTAGTGGAGGTCAGCAAACGATTTCTGTAAAGGGCCGGATAGTGAATATTTAGGACTCTGCCGGCTATGTACACCCTTTTGCAACTCCTCAGCTCGGACACGGTAGCACGAAGCAGCTGTATGTAAAGGATAGGTGATAACATGAATGGATAAGCCTGCCAGTTCTAGTAGAATTTCATTTACCAAAGCCTGCTAGAGAGCCTCCTATACAAGATTTATTTAAAAAAGGTTTGAGTGCCTCTTAGGCAGCAGAGGTACAGCCTTGAGCAAAACAAAGTCCCTGCTACCCTCGCGTGCCTTCCGTTCTATCAGTGGTGCCAAAGAAATATTTAACATTAGGTGGAGAGAGGACCTCTGAGGAAATGGGAACCTGGGTGAGGCAGGGCTTATTGCTCTCTTCAGAGGGATCTTGTGGAGCGAAGAGGTGCAAAGCAGGATATTTTGAAGCAGTTACCACGGTATGAATATTTCATGACTCGGTAATATGAGCAGGAGTAATCCCTAACCCCTTACCCGTCTTTGAACCTTTTACATGAAAATCATGTAATGCAGGATTTCTCCCAGGAACTAGGCTCTGAGCTGTCGTGGCTGGTGTGTAAGTTTGCCATCTTTTAGAAAGGAGTTTGTACTTTTAGGCTTATAAATGGACCTAAAGAACTCTAAACTACACAAACACATACAAAATAACCCTGAACCTGTCTCTCTCGAGCAGGTGGGAAGTTGGAAGACTGTCGTACATCCATCTACCTTGTTTTTTGTTTTTAATTTTTTAATGTTTTATTTCTGGGAGAGAGAAAGGGAGACAGAATCCGAAACAGGCTCCAGGCTCTGAGCTGGCTGTCAGCACAGAGCCTGATGCGGGGCTCGAACCCACGAACTGTGAGATCATGACCTGAGCTGAAGTCGGACGCTTAACCGACTGAGCCACCCAGGCGCCCCTCCATCTACCTTTTCTTAAACGGTAGGGGCAAAAGTTAGAATATCTTCCCTTGCCTTGTTAAACAGTGTACAAGTGAGGAGCAATTTGTGGCTGGAAAGTCACCAGCCCATGGTATAGGGCCATTCTCTATTTCCTGGAAGCACCTTAGCCAAATACGGCTAGAAATCCTAGCGGCCTTATTTTCTCCCCAGCAATTGTGTAATAGTTTTATGTCTACCCTGCCATGTTCTGGAAACGATTTATGAAAAAACAGTCCAGTATTTAAAAAGCAAATGAGAAAACTTGATTTCTGGGTGAAATGAATACCTAAAATGAAGTTAACACTCCAAAATGTCATGTACAATGTGGAAACTAATTTGACAATAAACTATTTGTAAAAAAAAAAAAA